CGCGCAGCGCGGCCAGGCGCCGGCCCAGCGCCAGCACGGCGGCGTGCGTGGGCAGGCGCTCGGCGCGCCCGGCCGGCAGCTCGGTCCGCTTCCAGCAGTGCGCGCAGCGCACGTCGCCGCCGGGCGCCGCCAGCGCCGACCGCGCGCACGCCAGGCAGAAGTGGTGCTTGCACGCCAGCAGCTTGGGCTCGCGCTCGGCCTCGTCGAAGGCGCGGCCGCAGTACGAGCACAGCGTCAGCTCCTCGATGTCGCCGAGCGGGGAGGCCGCCATGGCTGCGGCGGCGGCGGCCGGGCTCACATCGCCGGCGCCCCGCGCTCCCCGGTCGCCGTCGCTGGCGGCGGCGCTCCGTTACAGGCCCGACGCGATTTGCCACATCGCTTCACGTTTTGTGTACGCGCGCCATCTCGCCACTCGCCTCTCGGGCTCGCTTCACGCCGCTCGATCAACAGATTATAACCGGCGACGTGACCTCGTCGCGACGTCGCATTCCTTCGCACCGCCCTTCGTCCCGTGTTCCGATTGTGAAAGAACTCGCGTTGATTAACTGTGTGTAAAATATAAAACGCAGCTCCGCATTTGCCTTTTCTTTTGTCGATACGAACGTATCGATTCGCTGTGGCCCTCGGATAGAAGACGATATGGATTTATATTCCGCTAAAAGTTAATTTCGGGTCTTAAAGCCGACAGGCTTTTAATTATTTACTTTGCCACGAAAGGAGTGGTAAATAAAATATTACGGGCCGCCGTGCGTAGACCACGGCGTCGGGCAGCGCGGCCCGCGCGGACTTCACGCGAGTCGCGGTGACATTGGGACGATAAGACGCGCGGGGCGCCGTCGGGGGCCGGGGGCGTCGCAGGGCGTTATCAGCGCGGGCCCCTTATCTCCGCGCGGCGGGGCGGCGCTTACGTAACGCACTATCGATCCGCGCAACGGCGGTGCCGCCCCGCACTCGCCCTATCGCGACCTGTCATTCGCAACCCCTACGTCGTCGATGACGTTGGTCCTTCATCTCGCTTCCGATTACATTTTTCGTAACTGTTGTTATCGGAATTTAAGTGTAATATACAAGACGCGATAGCAGTAATGGCTGTGTATGTATTGGTAACTCTGCGAACGAGTAAATATCCAATCTGCGTGCAGTGGGATAACGAGATGACCTTAACCTTGAAATCAGATGAAAGTACGCAAACAGATAGGTTTAGGCTTGTATTAGTTTCCGGTAATGCGCGAAATACGAACACTTGTGTACATTCTTATTAGTTTGCAAGGGGAATTTGAGCAATAGTGCAAATTTGCAGTTTGTAAAACCACGACAAACTGAAGCGACTGAAATGTTACATAATATCCGTCTTCACGACAATCATTTTGCTCTTAAATCATGCACAATGAGTAATTTTAGGACTTAACCAGGTCGTTACAAAAATTTATGAGTCAATTGACTTTTTTGTTAACACTGTGTGAAAGTATGAAAAAAAATTGTGTTCGATATAATATATCCTAATCTGAATTGATATCACGACATATCTTAATACTTTTTTTTAAGATTTTGCAGTGATGTTTACGAATTATTTTCGGTAGTATTTATGAAAACTTTTAAATTTTTCAAATTTTGAAAATTAAATTTTTTTTGTTTTATTTATCGCTGTACGGACGTATTCTGCTCCCTGCCCTCCCCTCTCGTACCCCTCGCCCTCTGCTCGCTTTGTTGTAGCGTTGGGTCGTAGCCAGAGAGCGGCAAGAAGGCTGTCGTGAAATGATAAATTGTCGTCACGATCTAGTGGGAACAGCTAGTCACGACTGTCGTTCAACGATAAAAAATCGTCCACGACAGATAGTCGTGATATGGGAACAGGCTAGACACGACAGTCGTCCAACGATAATAAAACGTGGCAACATGGTGGGAACGCGCCCTAACGGTTAGACAAGCGATTCTGTCCTTACAGATAACATCCCGTAGGGACAGTCGCTTGTCTGCCCTTACAATCTACTTCATGATAATAGATAAGTACCTTAATTATCGTCACTTAAACTACTAAGCGATATGTTCACTTAGAATTTAGACATAAATGAATTATTTTCCGTCAAAATTGTAATTTACATTTAATGGTGATAAATGCGGCCAAAGAATCTAATATATTATTTAAAGTTCAATGTATTAATAAAAACCCGGCACTATAAATCACATCCATTTGTGATTTAATTTATTTATTTATTTATTAATTTATTTATTTATTAAAGGACATCCAACAGCATACATTTAGAACTTAAAAAATAATGTTACATGAGCAGTGCATAATGCCAATTAGAGGATATCACAAAAGCTTAGAAACATTATGACGCGACATTGTGAGTTTCTCTACAATTATTTATAAAATAATATTTAAAATTTGAAAAGAACAATTAAAAAATTCATAAAATATTACAGCAAAAACAATTTCAAATAAAAATAACAATATTAATTATATAATTAGTAGTAATAAAAATTAGCTAAAACCTGATGGTGGGCAAATTACTCTTCTAGTGATAAAGACTTTATTTTGTATGCAACTTATTCTTGGTAACAACAAGCCCAATTATTTTTTCCAAGTTTAGTTTACGTCTCGAGTTCTTAGGTTTTTGCGATTGTACGAGTACACATAGGAAATAAAAATATTTTTTCGAATCGATATCGCAAACATTTTGTTTTTTTTTTAAACAAACCAACGTTTCGGGCTACAGCTCGAAAGGGGCGACGAAAAAGAGCTGGAAACGCCTGACGAAAGAGCACGAAACATAGGTTTTTTTTGAAAAACAAATAATCGCGATTTTAATCCGAAAAAAACAGTTATGAATTACCTATTTAGTTTACGTTGTTTACACCGATTTTAAAACAATGCCTGTAATAACTAAGTCAAAGTGGGCGGTTAGAAATAACAATGATAAACAGAAAAGAAATATGTTAAACCCATTTTTTGGATTTCAATCACTGTTATTAAGAACCTGTCATTGACATATAAGTGATTTAGAAATTAAAGTCGCAGGTACGTACCGCCACAGGGATTGGAATTGTGGACCTCTCTATTGAGAAGCAACCCTTTCTTTCTTTCTTTTCTTTTTTCAACAACAACTCTGCTGTTCGAGCTCATGTCGAATTGTCAATAGTGTCGTTTGAAATGCCTATGTCGAATTGTCAAGTGTCATTTGAAATTGTAACTATCCACCAATTGCAATATTAGCACGACAAAGCGCGACTAGCGTGAGAGTGACATAAAGCGAGAGATTCTGCTATTCTCGCACACACATCTCGCACTTTATGTCGCACTCACACAAGTCGCGCCCTGTGATAGCCCTACAAGTCTTATACGAGTGTTACTACACGCCTTGCGGACATTTCACTATGAGTTTGAGCTATTATACAACATGAGCACCAATTTGAAAGAAACTTTGTCGTGCAGGAGCGCGATGTGTACGGCAACGAGGTGGGCGTGTCGGCCAAGCGGTTGCCAGTGGCGTACCTCCTGGTGGACGTGCCGTGCGGCGTAGCGAGTGCGGCCAGCTCTACCTTCGCGCCCACCGCCGCCTTCCCGCCCGCCAACCGCCCCCTTCACGACCAACTGCAAACACTGCGCGCGTTGCACGACCACATCCAAGCTGCACCCTCGTTCCTTGAAGTAAGTCGTATCAACAATTCGCACAGCCCACTTTAAGGCCTCCATATACGGGTGACTTGTTTTCGCAATCTGTCGTTTCAGACTGTTGGAAATGAATGGATAGTGTATGTTTATATCGTTAACTATTTACTTGAACGCCAGGGAAGTAGCGACAGATCGATACGATTATTGTGACGATCGATCCAAACATGGTATCGTTTGTGTGTGTGTGTATATATATTTTTATAAAATTATACCTTAATTCATTACCGTAACTTTTAAATTTGCCTGTCTTCGTGGCTGATGTTAGCGTTATGTTGTAGAGCCAACTAACTTTATTTCTGTCTTTGTGTAGTATTTGTTGGGTGTGATACGAGTGTTACTGTTGAGGATCGTCTTGTATGTGTAATTAAAGCTAACTGGCTATACATGACATGGTAAGGAAAATGTAACATATTGCAAACAACCCTACGTTCCTACGTAACAGCCTGGCCATAACCATACACTACTATATAGATAGGTAGAGGAAGCCTGTTACCATGCGACCTAAGGTACCAGACGGAAGGTGGGAAGGATAAGGGGTGCAAGAAGTGGATTTCCTCACTGCCAGTCTCACAGACTCACAAGACTGAGCAGATAAGCTGACGGCTAAAGGAGTGGCCCCAGTGAGAGGATGCTGTAATCAGAAGAGTTCCGTCGTCGTCGTCGTCGTCGTCAATGAGACAGCGTTGATGTCTGGATTCAAAGAGATCTTTATTTATACAAATTCTGTTTACATGTGTGCGTGTATATCTACAATATAATTTTTAATGTAAAAACAAAGGAAACGTCAACTAAGCAGGCTGGTCTTGTACATTGCTATTCGGTCAGTGCACTACTGAGTAGTCTATTGTCGTCACGTGGTAATTTGTGTGATCAGGTTGTCTGTTATGGTCACGTGGTAAATTTATGTCCGGTCAGGTTGTCTGCTCATGTCACGTGAATGTGAACAATGTACATATCTCGTTGTACTACGATCACAGTCCATCTTTACCGAAACAATTTTTTTTGCAACAAATTTTCGAAAGAAATGCAACATAAAGAAGCCTTTATTAATATCATTATACCGCATTCTCAGAGATTATATCGCATCGGGTTGCTCTCAGAGAAAAGTTTAATGAGACTGGTATCATGACTCACATTACATTACATTTACTTAAATATATAAATCTTATAAAAATTGTAAATGAAATAAAGCCGCCTGTATTTATATTAGTTTTTTAGAAAAAGCCATTGACTTACAATTATATGGACGTCGGGTCCGCGCTAAAAAGTGTCCGAACTTATAGGGCGTTAAAATCGTATACAGAGCGTCATTCACGCTTTAGTCTTCGTTTGTTCGACTGACAGCGAAGCAAGCAAAATTAGACAGTACTACGATGACATTACAATTTAAATTAAACGTTTTAGCTTTTTCATATTCCTTTACATGTTTTTGTATTAGACCCGTCGACCATTTATTTGTAAGTCAATGGAAAAAGCCCACTGTAATTTGGGACCACGGCGCGAAATTGACACCAAGTCTACTTCGAAGCTCCCGCACTCCGAGCAGGCGGGCGGGAGGTTCGAAATAAAACAAAAAGCCATTACGGCCCTAGGTCCGTATAATAAAAATACCACCTATACTAATACTTACGAGGAAATGTGATAAAAAAATATTTACAAAATACAGTTACAGTCTCTTAATTCTCACTTAGAAGTACTGTGGTATCGAGTCACAGAGTTGCAATGGAAATATTTTCCTCCCAAAGAGGAACGCCTGCCCGGCCCAGTGTACGTATAGGCTGCGTCGTTTCAGGCGATGTCTGACCTACACGTGCTGCTGTACCTGGCGACGAACGAGGCGCTGCCGCTGAGCATGGAGACGCTGCAGCCGCTGCTGGACGCGGTGGCCAGCTGCGACGCGAGCGCGGCGTCCGCGTGGCGCGCCACGCCGCAGTTCGCCACGCTGGAGCACCTGTGCTTCGCGGCGGCCGACCACGAGCCGCCGCCCGCCGACGCGCCCAACGCGCAGGCGCTGTGGACCTGCCCGCTCTGCACCTTCCACAACGCGGCGCGTCGCGACGCCTGCGAGATGTGCGCAATGCCCAGGTGCGTCGAGCGCATGCGCTCCCCCTTAACGCCATTACCACTTTTCTTTTCGAATTATACATTTCTTACTTCCCACGTACGGGTTGCTTACATGATACCGCCAACTGGACTGCCACGCAGAGATCCCGGGTTCGGAGAACTATTTGTATGATAGTTCTATGTTCCAAGAATCTCCCCACGTTCCAAAAAATCTTTTTATTGTTACCCATGTTCTACAAATTACGCCAGAAACTCATTTATTAGACGCTCGTGTAGGTATTATAACGACAACTTGAAAGACGTCGATATGTTCTCTTTATCGCTGGTAAAGTATAAGCGAAAAGTGGGAGATATTATATTTCACAGAGCACCTAATGCATAACCTTATATTGTTTAATTTAATTTCTTTTTTTTGTTGGATGTCATCTATACTGTTGTCCGTTGTACAAATTTTCTTATACTCGTAATTATTTAATGGAACAATCTGGTCTGCTAGTAATTTTAATGTTTTTATATGTAACATTTGTATAAGACTGTATGTTTTTCCTAAATAAATAAATAAAAAAATAAAATAAAATAAATAAATAAGACAGCGAGTTTGGGGTGTAATTTGACGTTGTCTATGTTGTGTGTCCATGGCACCGGCGATACAGGGCTAAGAGTGTGTGTGCGTTTGAATTTTGAGTTTAAGATTCTTTTAGGGTGCACCGAACTTAAGTTTAATTGATAGTGTGGCGCAGTCGCCGTTGGTCCCATTACCATCCATTATCTAAATCTTTCAAATTTTCTTTCGTGATTGTATGTCAACTCAGCCCAACTAAGGTCGTAATTTTACCTTTTTCTTTTTTAGGAATAACGCAATGTAAATACCACGACACAGGAGACGCAATCTAATGTTTATAAGGAGAGGGAAGCACCGCGGCCGCCGCCGCCAGCGTCCGCCACGCCAGCGGCAGCGGCGGTGGCGCCTCGGCTCGGTGCAGTACGTAGAATAAGAAGAACGCCTTCTCGACCTGCCGGTGAAAGCGACGAGGCATTTTCTATGGGACATTTCCAGTTTTAATACACCGCGGCCAATGTAAAATTCGCGACAAATGTGATGTTCGCTAGAGTGTACCTACGTTATATTTATTTATTGTAAATCGTATTAAATATACCATACGGGCGCCGCCGCAGCCAAACGCCGGCGTCAGCGGCGCGTAGGGCAAAACCTTTTATATAATGAGAACTGAAATACAGTGTGCGATGTACACGACGCGAGCGTTTCATTCCCAGCACTTTTCCTCTCGAAAATCCAAATGAATCATAAAAACAAGCTACGCACATGCACCGACCACTTTATACTTCACTAGATTGTCCATCTCTACTGCCTTCCAGAATATTCCAGTGACCATTCGTCGTAAGATGTTTTTTAATATTTGTGGCATTGCCTTTAGAATTAGTTTTTGGAAGAGGTACGGATTTTGGACGAAAAAGGATTGAGAAGGTGGGTGGCTATGATATATCGACATACATGTTAAAGCTTGATATTATTATTTTCAATAAATAAGGTCAGAATATTGTAAACATCTTTGTTGCATAAATATTATAAATTCGTTATGGAGGTGGGGAGTGGGACACTGATTGCCAGGAGTTCGGTTATGAAAGTATCTTAGTCAATAGAGGGGCAGGAGAAGATATGATTTAGATTCCGATAGGTCCCGCATGAGCACGCAGGGTCAGGAACAATTTTGAGTTTGAACAGGTGGGCAGAAGTATACAAATATTTTACGCGGTAGCTAGCGACTGTCAATGTAATCTCATGATAGAGGCAATGGTCGCAAAACATTAGATTTCTAGATTTAGTCTGCTGCTGCTGTAGTCTAATACAATCACGCCGGCCGCATTGAAACTGCTTTCAAAGTACATGTAGAATTACATAAGGCTCAATCAGGTGGAGTGGAGTAATTTGCCTGTCAGGTATAAAAAAAAAAAAAAAAAAAATTCCACAGCGGCGAAATGGAATAGAAGCGAAATAGTACATAGCATGAAATTTATGTCAATTGTGTGACGTATAATTGAAATACGAGCCATTTTTAATGTAAAGTTCATTATGCTATGTATAATTTCGTTACAAAATTCGCTTCCATTCCATTCTGCAGTAACGTAAAAATGAGCCAGAATCGCAGGAGTAAATGACAAAATGTAATTGCTTTTGTAAAAATATTTATTATTATTATTATTATGTACAATTTTGTAACTAACCGCGGTCGCAGGCGTGCCCACGGCCGCTGCCGAGCGGTGGCGACCCGCACCTATTTACAAGTTCATCGTTCTATTGGAATCCAACAACAGGGAGGCCACCGCCGCCATCTTAAAAGGACACACGTCTCGACGGGCTAAGTTTGCTTGCGCTATGCGTGATGACGATCTGATACCGCATAATACGTAACAATACTTCGTGTAGTATTAAAATCAACTCAACTTAGAGAATAAATGTGATATCACTCAGGACACAAAGTGCTGAAACGACGACCCGGCGAACAGAAAGAGAAAGCAATATGAGTAGAGAGAGAGACCATCTTGACACACGTATGGCGCAGGCAGACCTCGCAACAATCTAAACGTGAGCAGTCAGCGTAGAGCGAACGTAACTTTCCGTATTTATAATTTACCGCCATTTTGTAAAAAAATCCTGCACCTCAAAATGGCGGGTAGGTGGTTAAACTCAGAAGTGGAATCTTTGAAGTATTGTTTTTGAGATAACGATGAATATTGTTATCAGCGAAAATAGCTCTGTTTCACGGAGTCGCTCGGCGCTGACTGTAAGGCTGAAGACACATCGAAAAATACGCATTCCAAACGTAACACAAATTTCTTTGTCTGCAGAACTATTATTATCTTAATTCGTTATTTGAAATATTTTCGCTTAGTGATAATAACGAAATCCTATAGGTTGTTTTAATATATCTCCACCTCTCTGGTACTAACAGAATCTGTAAATTTAAGTACTATGAGGGACAGCTCTGCAGACAAAAAACATCTTATGCGCCAGGCATTAAGGTCGCAAATTCCGGCTATGCAACGTCGAGTTGCTAATGCGCCTGGTTCTACGCCGGCGATTGTCTATAGTACTAAACTTACAAGCATCAGATTCCTCTGCCGTCGTCGTCGCCTATCTATCACATTGTTACGCGTGGCTCGACTACATTACATTGCACCTTAACCAAGTGCTTTGGGGGTATCGAGTGCCGTTTTAGCCGGGGTAAACAGTAGGTAACTTTCGGTAAACAATATTTCGACTCCTCCTACGTAAAGTATCGTATGTCGAAATTGCCAAGTTTACAGGGAAGTGTTATAAAGTTTTCCGTTTCATTCGGCAAAGCTCGTTGCTCACATAGAGTGATCATCTAATAGATCATCTTACCGATATCTAGAATTTTATAATACTCTATGTGAGTAACGACCTTTGCCGAATATAACTGAGAAACGCTAAAGTCACGTATTATGCTTATTTCAGTGAATTCAGAACTTTAAAAGGCTCCACTGTAAACTTGGCAATTTCGACATACGATACTTTACTTGGGAGGGGTTGATTTATTTGACTATTAGTTAGACATGTTCACTACTTTTGTTGCAATACGTAGCCTCAAAGGTACGATTTTTAATCACCCCATCGTTTGTACACATCTTGTTAATGAAGTAATATCCAGTATCCCACTGTTACGCACGTGACTCGTCAGATGACAGGGTTTAGGCCGTTCACACGTTTAACAATTGATGGTGGACCTTCTTCAGCATGCAAGTTTTACAACGTTTTTTTTTCGCCATGGGCGAGATAATGCTGCCAAATATTCACAAATGTGCGTAACTTATAAATTGAATGTACATGCCGTCACTGTGCTTCGAACATAGACCTTTTTGATTTGAACTGATTGTAAGAAAATTACCACTAATTTGGTGTTATACTTGAAGTACGATCGAAAGGAATTTTTCATTTTTCGATCTTTAAGATGTCTAAATTATTTAAAATATTTTTCAATTTAGAAGAAAACAGCTTTGCCTAGACGTGTATCGCGCCTTGATGTGCGTCTGTGGCAAAGCCGCTTATCATGTTTCCTAATGGATACCCAGCCTAATGTCACGATTTTTTAGCTTTAAAATCGCTGATACCTTTCGCTGCCTTATACAATAGTAACATAGAGAAGCCCCGCGACTTCGTTACAACAATATTATAGCTGCAATGACGTCTATTCAGGTAAAGAAAAACTAAACTCAATTCAAATACAGTAATGTATATTTCGTTATCAATACGAAAAGATTTAATTTACAGCTTTATAATTTTGATAACTCCCTGTAAATGTCCAATTAAAATTATGGAGGCAGTGGAAAACGATATTATCTGTTCTTTTCTTATTGCTAGTGAAAGAGACAAACGCAATGCACTTAAATTAAGTTTGCGTTTACCTGAATAGATACCATTACATGTTTATACTACAGGTGCCTTTAGTTTACATAATATGTACAAGAGCGTGTACGGATTGCAGTGCCGCTTTTCTGCAACTTTCAAGGTGATTTTTTTTTTCAGTAAAATTCTAGTATCCACAGCCTATACAAATTTTGGATAGAGTATTTTGTATGAGTAAACTTTAAGTGTGGATTTTTGGCTTACTACGTTGCTTGCGTAACTTATCGCTTTCTAACTCAAGTTAAAAAAAAACACCTTTGCACAGAATGCTTCAAAGTGTTCAGAGAAAGTTTTCAGTTGACCTTATAAGTCTTACCATAAAAAAGCCATTTCGAAATCTTAACATGATATTTATATAACCATTTAAAGCATCCTTTACTTGCTGATTAGAAAAGGGGCAGACTGCTGTACGCCATTTAGCATTCGCCACAACAAAGACATTTTGTTAAAATGTGTTTTTTTTATTGCCACCCATGCATATATATAGCCAAATTCTGCTTCCTTAAAACACTGGCAACACAAACGTTAATTTATTCTTCGCAGCAACATTTTAATGTACTCTTTAAACACATTATATGATTACGCATACGCAGTTAATCTTAATAAATTTTGAATATTTAAACCAGACACGTCAAATACCTGGTCGAAGTAGGGAATTACATGTTGTGCTATATAGTCACAGAACAATAAATAAAGTAGAAGTGGTTACTTGACATCCAACGCGTGTCACAACTATGGGTCTCGAAAGACCTACTTGAGCCTAGTCCGCCATTTTCGCTTTGTAAGGTATGGTTGTCATTCTTTCGCGCTCTTTTTCTAAAATCGTAGAAAAATGCCTTATTGTGCTGTTTTGGCGTGCAAAAAAATGATAGCTGCACTAAAAATATCACCCGTAGTAGTATTTCAAATCATCGGTAAGTCATTTTAATAAATTTTCTGATTATCTATTCGTTCAGGTGTTAATCGTTCGTCGTAGTCCAGCTAGTGGCCGCAAGATGGCAGCATGTTGAATAAAATTTCAATATAAAATCAAAACGTCGTAACTTGCAATAAAGATGATAAAACTTTCAACGATATTGCGACTGGGCAAAGTTTAAATTATGTTAACAATCCAGAATTTGTTACATTTTTTTAAATTGGAAACTATGAGCAATCACTATCAAGATTTCAATAGTGTTTACTATTTTGCTTGTGCGTTTTGGCGACATCGGTTCCGATGATAATCGAGGCTTATGGCACTTCCATTGGTTTTTTTTCTTCTGTGTATATAGTAAAAATAATATGCAAAACATATTAATTACCTGGTCTCACACTAGGGAATCCCTGGTGTGCTGTAGCAATAATAATGTGGCACGCTACATTAACTGCCTGGTCTCGAATAAAAGATTATATTCGTTTCAATCCATTTAAAACAAAAAGTAAACAAACCTGTTTGGTTAAAATTCTAAAGAAATCGCTCAATAAATCGAATAAGTGACACTTTCACGTATATTTCGAAATATTCGACTTGATATCTCATCGCTTTTTCCAACAATATTCATTTGAATAGCATGTCTGTTCCAAAACAGACTATAGTAAAAATGTAGCAAGCATTTTAAATTAATTTTCTGCTCTAAAAAACTTAGGATGTACTTCTTGTGTTATAGTAATAATAATGTGCTAAACACATTACATTAATTGCCTGTGCTCACTAGTAGGTCAACTGTCAAAATTATAATAAAGAAGGTAATAACGCAATTAGTAATCATTAGAACGTCGTTACTTTCACAATTGAGTCATTTTTATCAAAAATTGTATCTTTCACAATCTATCGATAAAACTATCGACACCACCTACACAACTATTTAAAATTTTATAAAAACTGGCAACCCTAGAAATGTAATTTTACTCCGTCTTCAAAAAGATAGACTATTAAAAATGAGACTCCATGTCGGACCATGTGTCTCTTCAAACAGCTATGTCAATTGATATGAAGATTATATACATACGCATGATATATGTATTGTCTGCTCTTAAACTTGAGAAGTACTTCTTGTGCTATAGTAATAATAATATGCTACATTAGTTGCCTGGGCCCTAACTAGGAAATCCGTTTTACTATATAATAACAATGTGCAAAACACATTACATTAATTACTTGGTCTTAAACCAGGGAATTACCTCTTGTGCTATAATAATAATAATGTTTGCAAGCGCTTTCAATTAATTGTCCTGTCTCAAACCAGGAAATCGCCTGTTGCTACGAGTAGCAAGTAATTGTAAAATGACCTTTGAGAGCACTTACTGGAATACCCATTATTATACTCCGTTCAACCATTTATTTAACTTTTGACAGCTCGAACTCTAATCAATTAGTGATGTCCTAATGCGTTTCTGATTCGATTTTTTATAACAATCGATTTTATTTATGAAGAAGTTTTAATCGTGAATGTAACCGGGTTCAATAAAAGATATTGTCTGATTGGGATCGTAATGTTGCGTTTGATAATTTCTGTACACAAGAAATAACAAGATCCCGACGATTCATTACAATAAACAATAAGACTTTATTAGAATTATATAAAATTTTTGTTTCATTATAATTTATAAGACAGGTACAAACATTTATATTAATCTTTGTTACATAATCTATTGACTCGATAAATATAGGAGCTAGAGCACGTCTCTCCACTAAAATTAAAAAATAAAACAGTCCAGGAAGTATTTAAATTTTTCTGTCTATGGTTGTATGTCAATAATTACGGAACTTCGGAGGTATGCATATCATGTCAAAAGTTAAACAAATGTTGGTCACAGTGTATTAAATAAATCAATAACACTCTGTGCTCGACAGTATTTAGACAGATTTTAAAATGTTGTCCCTTGTGAACATCTTGTGAGTAAAAAGTAAATTTTTTTAAACATCTCCCACTTTTTTCACCAAACGATATAATTATGTAATCGATTACAATAACGAAATACATAAAGGCAACACACACGCGACAATGCATTTATCTAACGGTCCAGTGTTGCCAGTATTTTAGTCGCGTACAAATTAGTCATAAAACGATGTTCGTTATTCTTTAGATGAAGTAAAGAGAACAAACAACGATAAGGAAATCGTATTAAGAGTCGATACGGTCTCATTTCGAATTCAAATTTTTCTCGTACTAATACGGCTCATTTTGCTTTGGCCGAGCGGCTGGGTCACTGGCTGTATTTCAGAATTAATTTTTTCACAAACGACATCATTGCCATTTGAAAAATGTATATCATATACTATTCGTGTTCTAATTAGTTCTGTTGGTATAAAAAAATCATTGGTATATGTAAAGTACCTTGAATATAACGGTTTTCTTGTCAAATTCGAGATAAGTGTGTTCTTTTTTCATATCGTGAAAATGTTTAGGAATCGTGTTTTCACACCGTATACTAATCAGTGTTCATCCTCAATTTTACTATATATTTTTTCCAAAGTGATTAGATTCAACACTTTCACTGTTATGCCGAATCAACCAAAGCCATCGGAGGTTGTATCGATTATTAATTGTAACAAATCGTACGTAGTAAAAAAATGTGGCCAACACTTTGTGGTGGGAGCCAAAGTCACTTGCTTTTTCATCTTTGAATCAGGAGCCACACAATGAGGGCCTCGCGATGCAGGTCTTTTAAAAAATTCTACTCCATGTGGCGTGGACCTCGTTGAACATCTGTATTAATTTCTTTACACCAATAGCGTCGGCTACGTGAATGAAGATTGGATATATATACACACGATGGCATATAGTTAGAATACTAAATTTATTTTTTGGCTTTTTTACGTTTTTTTATTTTTCTAGAACCGGAATATACAGCGGAATAGACCGTTCATTTTCAGGGGTTCTCTTGCAAATTAGGGCTGTCTTTTTTCCTGATTCTTCACCCGCCACCGACTCGGGAATGTACGTACTCCGCCCCGAAAAGATTCAGTCTATTTCCGAAATCGGGCATCGTTTGACGTTTCCCTACTTAATACTATACACTGCGTTTCATTGTACTTTATAAAATTTCACAAGAAACATTGTCAAGATTTGTTATTATGTACTCGCACACAAGGTAATAAAACTAGTCACCGCGGCGAATTCGAAACGGGTTTACTTTTTTCAGGACAATGAAATATAGTGAACAGTACGAAGGAACCCTCCAAACGCAGACCGTGCACTTCCACTCGAACGGATCACTCACTCGACACAATGGAGTTCTTTTTTTTATTCGTAGCTTTTGACAATTTTGAACTTTTTTTGGGTGTCCCTCGGGGGGCGCGGGGGCTACTCGCTGGCGGCGGCCGGCGCGCGCATCGGCGGGAAGTGCTTGGGGTCGCGCAGGTCGAAGGGGCCGCGCGGGGGGGAGCCCTCCAGCGCCGCGCCCAGCTCGCCGCACCGCTCCGAATCTGCGCACACGCCCTCGTACAGACCCCGCCCTGCCCCGCGCACTTTTGCCCCTCTACGCCCACGGGACGACGGCGGGGGCGCCCGTGCCATAGACAAAGGTCCAAAAATACGCGTTGCACTATCGTGAAGATGGAGAATGTCGCAATTAGCGCGTTAGTTACGAACAGTATACACAGTAACTCGTGTTAAATTGATATGAGAGCTAATGTCTGACTGGACGAGAGACGAATGCGAGATCCGGTTAAAAGATCTTAGGAGTTATATAATGGTGTGGTTAAGATGAAGAAAATCAAGCTTCTTTTCGGAATGACGCAACAGCACGTCGCTTTGCAGCGCTTCGTTTGACAACGTAAGACTGAATACCACGATCAAAATGATCTGATGCGTAAAAAGAAGCACCATTTACCGTTTGAAACTTTTACGAGATGAAATTAGTAAGCAGAGAGCCCCGTCGTGCAGGGATTTTAAGAGAAACATTAGAACATAGTGCAATTGACTGAAGATTTTGTTTTTCCAAACACAATGAAATGGTACGAGCACGTCGCAGGAACGTATTGAAATAAAGAAACTTTATTAATAAAGGTTTTTAGCTAACATTATATCAATATTGTATTCCATATATAATATAACAGGCGATCGGTACGTTCTCGCGTCGTGCTCCACGGCGAGTGGACAACTTACTGAGGTGCAGCGGCGCAGCCGCGATGAGCCGGCGCGTCCGCCCGGCCTCTTCTCAGTGGACATACTCGTGTACATAACAAAACATCATGTCACCACTGACTGAAGCAAAACGACACCGTGACAGACAACGCGGAGTCCGAACGGAGGACGGAGCGCGACAACAAATAAACCGACGGTGCATCGCACCCGCTAGGTCAGGCGCGGACCCCTCGAAGCGTACCTCGCCGGTCCGGCGGCGCCGGCCGAACCCCGGCGGACGGGCTCGGGACTCACCTGGCCCGCAGCGGCGCCGCTACAAGAGGCCGGCGCGCGCGGCGTCGGCGTCCGCGCCTGCTACAAGCACAACAAGTACCGCTGCTTCAGGCGCGCGGAGTGGAGGCCGGGCGGGCGCGCGGGCGCAGCGCGACGCCAGCCACTGGGCTGGGCCGCGCCGCGCGTCGCCGGGGAGGGAGGGGAGGGGTACCTGTCATCCGCGCGGGGTCCCGTCCGCGCAGCGCGCGCGCGTACCTGTTGCCCGCCGCCGCCGCTGCACACACACACGTTAGCTGCCGCGCGCCCCGCCCCCCGCCCGCCGCCCGCCGCGCCTCTCGCCCCTCGGCCCGAGCGGCCACCGAAAGGAAACGGAGGGGCTGTCTCCGACAGAGGCGGCGGGCGGGGCGCGGGGCGCGCGGGTTGGCGCCGAGCGCAGACTAAGACGGCGGACACGCGCTACTCCGCTGCGGTTCGACGGGGGAGTCTCCTCGGAATAACAATATCAATAAAGGTCAATATCGGAGCGTCACACGCGGCCGACGGTCGATGCGACGTGGAGACGGGGGCGCGGGGACAGCTCGGGGACAGGGACCAGAGAAATGTGGGGCAGTGGCGCGACGGTCGGCGCCAGGGGACGCCGCCGCCGCGCCGCGCCGCATGTTGCCGGCGACTGGCGCTGCTGGCCGCACTCCGCGGGGGGTTGGTTACCTTCGGCCTGCGCCTGCTGCGCGCCGGGCGCGTGCGCGTGCGCCGCCTGCGCCGGCTCCAGGAAGACGTGCTGGCGCAGCAGCGCGCACTCGCCGCCCTCGGCCGCGTCCAGCGCGTACACGTACAGCACGCCGGCCGACGTGGCCACCAGCAGCCGCGGCGCGCGGGACACGCTGCAACACGAGCCGCGTCAGTCCCGGCCGTCGCGCCGCCGCGGAGGCCGCACTCGACCGACCTGGTGATGGCGGCGCGCGCGCGGTGCCCCGTGACCGGCAGCCGCGCGGCGGCGAAGGCGCGGCCCTGCGTCAGCACGTCGGCCACGTGCTGCGGCAGGTAGCCGGCGCCGGCCGCCAGCCCGCGCGACAGCCACTCCATCCAGCCCGGCTGCGCCTCGCCGTCGCCGCCCTCCCCCGCCGCCTCCTCGCGCGCCTCCCCCGCGCCCGCCTCGCCCGCGCCCTCCGCCAGCTTGAACACGTGCACCGTCTCCGTGTTCGACGTCGCCGCCAGGAACAGCCCGCACGAGCTGCAACACGCGCGTTGGTATATGGAAAAAGAACTGAAGGCTGTTTAATTCCAACGTAAAAAATATTAAAAAAGTAAAAAGTCTGTCAAAACGTTACATACAATGTACGTAAATATTGAAAAACCGTAATATTGATAACAGAATTTCAGTTTTATGTCACTGTACTATTAAGCGTAGTAACCAAACTCTCCCGATAAACTACACAAAGGTCTCACGGTGCCTTGCGTGTTCAGTAAAATAACAACACATTCAAATATTTGATGGTCCTGGAGCGGCTACAGTGCGCTTCTGGTATGTTCATGCTAGCTCGTACTGACTGACACGTTCCATGCCATCGTAAGCCGTCGTATAGCTTCTTTTGAGGATAGGCTTGGTTGGAGTAGCAATGGTTAATTCTAGAGCTGAATTGCCACGTACGGTTAATTAAACTTCATTTACATTAATTAAACTTCCTTTTTATTATTATTATTATTTTTTGTAAATTTAACTTTTCATTATCATTATTTTCTAAAGTTATTAGATGTTTTAAAAATATGAATTGTATATTCTTAATATAGTCTACGGACTGAAATAAACAACTAACATTATAGGAAATGAAACTATTTTTCCGGATTTAAATAACGTACATTTGTTTTTTCAAACAAATCAAAGCAAACCGAACCAAACCAAGTCCCATGATCACGGTTGACTAAAACTATTAAAATTTGTAACAATCGCGAAGACCTAAGAAGTTGATAATTATTATTATATATGAATGTTTGGGAGAAGCTTATCTTATTTTAAAAATGTCTTTGTAAGGATAAATAAATTAAAAAAAAGTGTCTCGTGGTAATAAGTTTTGCAGCGATCGAATACCCACCTGAAGGCGAGGCAGGAGATGGAGACGCACCGCTTGACCCCGCGGCGGAATTCGTAGAGCCGCGTGCGCTCGGGCACGGCGAAGACGCGGATGACGGTGCCGCGTTCGGAGGCCGTGGCCAGTCGGCGGCCGCACATGGAGAAGGCCAGCGCCGCCAACGGCGAGTCGTGCGCGCTGATGACGCACTTGGCGTTGAGGTGCACGGCGTCGAAGATCTGCACCTCGCCCACGGCGCTGGAGCCGGGGTAGGCCAAGTAGCAGTGGTCCACGCAAGGCGCCAGCGCGCACAGCCCGCGCGCGTTGGGCGGCGTATCCCGGATCGTGTGCAGGATCTTCATGTCGCGGATGTTGTGGATGTGCAGAGACTCTTCTAGGCACACCACCAGTCTCTGTTCACCAACGATCGAATAAGAACACGCTTAATAGGGTAAATTTTGCGAGGCAAATTCATTCTGTCAACGAGTTATATGATCTGTGGAAAATGTTCGATGCAGACGTGCGTTCGTGAAATGCATCGCTGCTTGAAATCGCGCGTGTGTGTAAAGGTACACGATTAGCGACTGCATCGCGTTTGCGTCTAAAAGTCGCCATATGTATCTAACAGCTCTAGGACCAAAAATCTTTCAACTACGACAAATATGTCAAATTTTTTAATATTTTTTTTTGTCATTTAGTTCACAGCTTAAAATATACACAATTGTATGTATTGTGTAACAAACTCACAATATACACTTTACACAATGTTGTTCCTTATAGTAGTGAACACGTTTCAGTGATAAGAGAAACGAAATGTCACAAAGCTAATTGGTAGTTCTAGAGGTAATCATAAATCTTTGTTTAAACAGTCTCGAGTCTGTAATCCACAAACTTACTATTAATTGTAATCTATCTATATTATGCATTTAAAACTCACTATATCGATGCACTTCGGACCTTTGATATAAATAACTTAAATGATAAACGTCTTATGTTTAGTTTTTAAACGACAAAAAAATGTGATCATTCTCAACTCTCTGTATTTTTGTGTGTTTCTCATTGACTTACAAATAAATGGACGACGGGTCTAATACAAAAACCACGAAAAAAATGTCCCTAGTCAACCTATTTAAACGTAGTCACATGTAAAGGAATATGAAAAAGCTAAAACGTTGAATTTAAATTGTAATGTCATCGTAGTACTGTCTAATTTTGCTTGCTTCGCTGTCAGTCGAACAAACGAAGACTAAAGCGTGAATGACGCTCTGTATACGATTTTAACGCCCTATAAGTTCGGACACTTTTTAGCGCGGACCCGACGTCCATATAATTGTAAGTCAATGGTGTTTATGTTATGTTTATTCCGACAGTTATGTCAGTTAGTGTCATGCTTTCAGTAGCTTTGGTTCCTACATCGTTTTGCGCACAGTCCTCGCCCGCATCCCTCGCACACATTCCTCGTACAATACTTAGCTCCGCTAACGAGGCTAGCAAAATGAAGTAATCCTCGCACACCGCCTCGCTACGTCGCACATTTCTGGTGGAATGGCAGCTTAAGAGTGGCAAATTAGGGGCTGAATCCATTGACTTACAAATAAATGGACGACGGGTCTAATACAAAAACCACGAAAAAAATGTCCCAAGTCAACCTATTCGAAATTTAAATTGTAATGTCATCGCAGTATATCGCTGTCAGTAGAACAAATGAAGACTAAAGCGGAGTGTCGCGCTCTGTATACGATTTTAGCGCCTTACAAGTGCGGACACTTTTTAACGCGGACCCGACGTCCATATAATTGTAAGTCAATGGCTGAATCCGATTTATTTAACCGGCCGAGGGTTTTGAGTAATCAAATGAAACGCTTGGTCCACATCATTTATTGTAATATAGGAATAGGTAAAGCAAATGCCCAAAAAGGCCTATATTTTCAAGAAATATTATGCTTTACAAGCAGTTAGGTTACATGATTTTCAATGGTAGTAGGGCGCGTTCCCACTATGTCGTAACGTTTTATTTACGTTGAACGACTGTCGCGTCTAGCCTGTTCCCATATCACGACTGTCTGTCGCGACTGTGTCGTGGACGTTTATTTTATCGTTGAATGACTGTCGTGTCTAGCTGTTCCCGTTAAATCGTGAAGACAATTTATCGATTCACGGCAGCCGCCTCGTCGTTTGGATGACTGATTCGTTTGAAGCTGCGATTATCTATCGTCACATTTTTACCGTGAGGTTTTATTTATCATCAAATAACTGTCGTTCTAGTTCTTCCCATTGTCACGACCATAGATTTAGTATATCCAATAGATTGGCCCTGAAGTGTTGGAGACGAGACCAAAACAAAAAGACATCTGTGTGCGTATAATGTGCATGTGTGCAAGATAAATAGTGTTGCGCCATCCACTGATTTAACTTTAATATCGATTCACATGTTACACCGGCATTATCGTCCGTTTAACACTATTTTTCATTTTAAAACCAATTATTTTTCAAAAATAAACGAAATTTGTTTCGTTGTCAGCTGACCCTAGGTTCATACAGGCTCATAGCGTATAATGAAATGGTCTCGTCTACCCATCTCGCTGTAACATACGTGTATACTACCGCTCTTTCACTTGCATTGCCAATCTATGGGTACCTATATTCTAAATCTATGGTCACGACAGTCTATCGTCGTAACGTCAAAATAGTCTTGAACGACAGTTAATCGTGTTGAACAACTTCATTTAAATATACAAGCCACGACACTTTTAACTGCACGTCTATCTGTCGTCACGACACACGTTCACGTGGAGAAAGTTTTCGCACGGCGACCGCAGACCGACCACGCCTTCATGTACATTAATGGCGAATCTGAATTGTATTTTTTAGGCAACTAAATTTAAATTCCTCTGAATAATACAATCGCGCGGTCGCCGCCCGAGCCGCCACGTAGCCCAAATGCAAGCCAGTCTCGGCCGCGTGTCCGGAACGCTCATTTAAGTTAAAACGTAAATGCTAAATGAATAGAGCGTATTTTGCCATGACAGTTAGACGCACGCGGTCGCCGCGCGGCGGCAAACGCGGGGTGGGCGCGATGAAATTCGTGTCGAGTAAATGCTCCCTAACTTGTTAGAATCCTATATTAAGTCGTGTACGTGTGCTCGCTTCGGAAATTAAGTACAAAGTGGCGACGGAAAGAAGAAAAGTAAAGGACTATCCACACATATCAGGGCCGTGCCCGGGACGTGGACGGGGCGTGCTAGTTTGTAGCAACTGCGGGCCCGTCCTGGCGCCGGCCCGGACACGGACATGCGTGAACGAGTTCATACAAAGTATACGCAACGATATTTTTTTGAGCCCCTGGCCCGTCCACGTCCCGGGCACGGCCCGGATATGTGTGGATAGACCTTAAGAGTGACGGAGAAAAGTAATTAAAGAACGATTCGAAATTTGAAAGTAGGTGGCCAGGAAATAGAAAAAAGGGCGATAAAAAGCTGGCATTACAATGAAAGAGGTCGCGTCGTCACAAAGTTAGCAAATAGATATAATTTCACAAACTTTTGAAGTCGGTTTTTTGATAAATTATTCTCTGGTCTTACCGAGCGGTTTAGTTTGACCGCGAGGATGGTGTTACTATAGCTGTAGTTGCATATCTCCGTACCCTTCTTATAATGGCATACGATCAGCTTCCTGCAACAGAAAGAAACATATAGGTTACGTTAGTGGTTGATCAGCAGCAGGCACGAATACAGTGTCCATAAACTTGTAACTAAAATTAAAAGTGGCGTTTTCTTTGTAAAATTTTAACATCTCGTAGTTTTAAAAAGGGAAATCAAAAATTATTACTTCGCTAATGTTCACACAACAATACGGTGAACAAAATAAAATATTCAATATAATATTGATCTTTAATTATTTATTATTAATATACACTCATAGCCTCTCACTAGGGAAACCCTGTGTCGCGGTTGCCGTGGACACACACGTAGACAACCACAAATTACACCCAAATTCACGAGAGAAATAAATGTAAGCCATACTAATATTTCTCCCAGCCCAGGAATCGAACCTGAAAAAAATTCCTTCTATCTGATAGGACTCAAACCTGTGTCTTTTCCATCTAGAGCAACTAGATTGTCAAAACTGGATGTTTCTTTGTGTTCGATCTTTGTTATTAACAATTATATTCAATATATTTGATGGAAAAGTTGGAGGTTAGAAAAAGGTGTTCCACATATAAAGATATATGTACAGACATAGCTACAAGGAGCAACATAGAGTTGTTCAAACCAGAATTATTAATGAATTACTTTTCGAATTCCGGATTTCCGGAAATGGTTTTACTGTATTGTGGAAAAAAACTACGGATCTAGGAAGTCGAACTAAAGAACAACTGTTTCGTTATAATTCGGTTTTCGGTGTAGTGAAAATTCAAACAAACGTTATTCCGGACAAAAAAATTTCCGACTTTGTGATAGGTTACCGCGTTTAAGACATAGTCAGCCACACTGACCTAACGCAGGTTGGGGACATCACAATTGTTCTTCAACGTGCAGATGTCATAACGATGTTACCTTCACTGTTGCCGGAGGTATTGCTATAGGGATATTAGCGAGAGCTGGGAATTGTATATATGTAGGTGGTATTTGTGTCTTTACAGAATAATTTGCGGTTGTATTTTTTATGCGACACACCCCACTACATACGCAATTCAAAGCTCTCGCTAATAATACTATATTAAACATTCGCAAATACGTAACTTAATTTTTTATTTTCCATAACAGCGTGTCATAAATTCGTTTACAGTGATGTCAAGTCTTTAGAGAAATAGCGTTACATCCATATCTGCGTCAAGCTGCGCTCACGGTACTGACAAGGCCCATAAAAACCTCGACCAGGTACTTAACGCCTCGTCGATAATAGAATGGAAAGGGCGTTTCAAATCTTAGACGCAATTTGATTTCTTTAGTATGTTTCCATTAACATTTGAGAAGAAGGGATTAATGGTATTAATTAGGGCATATATACCGCACTGCTATTACAGTAGTGTTGTAACTCAAAATGTGTGAAATTCAAGATGATATAATTATTGCTGAACTGAAGATGAAATGTCGCATTTCCATAAAAACACCTCGTTAGAATATAGTGAAAATAAATATCTTAAGAGTCCATACTACCTCAGCTCGAATAAAAAAATTTCCTTCCATATAGCGTTTTTTTTTAAAATGTAAGGTAAAGTGAGTTTTTTTTTCTATCGTGAAAATGTTTAGGAATCGTGTTTTCACACCGTACAGTAGTCAGTGTACATCCTCAACAATTTTACTATATATTTGTTTCCAAAGTAATGGATTCAACATTTTCATTGTTATGCGAAATCAACTAAAGCCATTTCAAGTTGTATGGACTATTAACTCAAAATGAAAAACTTGCTGTGAGCAAACAGTCTGGACAAAACAGTCTTTACTAAAAAAATATGAAATAATTTTATTTATCGAGTTCTTAGGTTTTCGCGATTGTTACTCATAGGAAATGAAACTATTTTTCCGGATTTAAATCGCGTATATTTATTTTTTCAAACAAACCAAACTATTTTTCCGGATTTAAAACAAAGATTTAAATCCGGAAAAATAGTTTCATTTCCTAATTTTATTTATTTTATCTTTAAACATATTTGGCAAGTAGGAAATTATTTAGATCTCTGTAATAAACTCTAACCTATACATAAATTGTAATAATCTTTCACGGGAAGTGAGTAATTAGCTTTTCTTTAGAGTCTCTGTTTAAATTAATTTTTGCATGTTTTGCACAAGTGTCGGTGGAAGATCAATGGATTTTTTTATGATATCTAGGGCAGGGACCATTGACTTACAATTATATAGACGTCAGGTCCGCGCTAAAAAGTGTCCGAACTTGTAGGGCGTTAAAATCGTATATAGAGCGTCATTCACGCTTTAGTCTTCGTTTGTTTCTTCTGACAGCGAAGCAAACAAAATTAGACAGTACTGCGATGACATTACAATTTAAATCTAACGTTTTAGCTTTTTCATATTCCTTTACATGTCACTACGTTTAAATAGGTTGACTTGGGACATTTTTTTCGTGGTTTTTGTATTAGACCCGTCGTCCATTTATTTGTAAGTCAATGGCAGAGACGAACAAATCGTGCGCCTGATGGAAAACGAGACGCCTGTTCGTAATAGTTGCAGTGCCACTCAGAGCTTTAAAACACAAAGACCCGAGGGGCTTTGCCACTGCGACCGCCACGCCACCCTGAGACATAAGTTGACAGTTGCAAAAACCAATATATGCGATATAAACTTTCAATTTCCATATATTGAAATACCCTTCCAACCCGGAACGCAGCAAGAGTGGTCACCCATGGCTACTTTAAACGCGCGTTTGCATCGCTGATAAACGTCGCGTCGGCGTGTTGGTGTGGCCATTAGAGCAGTTGCTGCTTGGCGACAGAAATAGGTAAGGTGGCAGTACTACCATTTAATTAATTGTAGATATATGTCGTTTATTGTGTATATTTATTTGATTTCATTCCTTTTTGTTATATTGTATGTTTTGTTTTGAGTTTTTTCTTTTGTCATCTTTCTTTCTTTAGCTATTTGTTGTTTCATATTATTGTGTGTGCTTGTGGTAAGTCAATAAACGTATTCTATCTATCTATCTACCAAGGATGAACTACTTCACAAGCAAATTTTCTGCTACTAAAAATTCATCTCTATAAATTATAATGTACCAGCTTTTTTATATAATTCACGTATCAACGAGTGAGTGGGCGGTGACCGTTACGAAGCGATTTTTTAATTTTAGAGTTTTTATTAAATCTGTTCATTTTGTCATTGAAAAATACAGTTCGGTTTTCTTTTACACATATAATTAACAAGCTACAGGCTCGAGGAGCGTAACCTTGTTTGTTTTATTTATTGTCTATTTGTTAAAACATCATGTGTGAGTTCTGAGCATTTACTCCACATACTTCCAACTCGTGTAATTCCAGAGATATTTATTTAATTTTATATGTGGATTTTTTTGCTGATCTAAGCGGTTAGACTTTAGGAACATATAACACGTTTTTTGATAATTTTCGGATTGCATCCTTTTTGCTTAACTACGTCGAATGAGAACGAACCGTTGTTGTATACAATCCAATTTTTATTTTTTTCAAATATATTTCTTTAAGATTAACTTCGAAGTACACCATAGTTGAAAGTCGCGTTTGGAGTTGTTTGCATATATATTCGCAATTGTCTTTCTTGCCTTGTCTCGTGTTAGAAACAAGCGTTTACGACAGGTCATTCTAAGAGACGTGACGAACATCGTGCGCCTGGTAGGAAGCAACTCGCCTGCCTGTCCATAGCGGTTGCAGTGCCAATCACAGGTTTAAATCTCAAAGATCTTAGGGGCTCTGCCACTACGCCTGTCACCTTGCGACATAAGTTGACAAATACCATGTGCCTGTAATTTCACCAGCATTCTTACTTTAAAAAAAACCGGAACGAAGTAATGTGAGCATTACTGCTTTGAGGCTGAAAAGGTAAGTTGGCAGTACTTTCCTGGACGAACTTTTTCAAGGAGCTTTAAGGACAAATTTCATAAGCTGTGACGTCAGAGTTTGTTTGTTTGTTTATCAGCGTTTTTGGAAGTTTTTTTACTATTGTCAACTCTTTTCCTCAATTAAGAAATCCCTAAATCGAAGAGAAAGAAATAGACCGCTGGTTTCGAATAAGCGACTAGTTGATTTTCAACATAGTTGTTTTTTTTACGTGGCCTCGGTTTGCCATAGAGGCAGGGTCATACCTGTCAGATCGAAATATTTTTTTTATTGTTTATTTTTCTTTAAGTATCGTACATTAAGAAAAAAATCTTCTTTGTATTAATGATTATACATATTATAACCTTACATATTGTTAAGATTTGATCAAATAGTGATTAGTTTGTATGCTGCACCGCGACCATCGGGTGAATTCACGGCCAAGTTCACTTTCGTGACACTGAGGGCACACTCACCGAAATAGATTCTACGCTAATATTAGAGCTGACAACTGACAATACGGAATTCTCGCTTAGCCACTGCTTTTATGTAACTGCAAATGCGGTGTTGCGGGGCACGGGGCTGTCAACGTCACAAACACAAGATAAAGACGTCAGAGCCGTCGACCAACAAGTTTCCACAATATTTTTGAGATTTCGTGAATGTAAAATAAACCGTCTAGCATTTTATATAGTATTGGTTTTACACTTTTGATTAAATACTCAATATAGCCTGCTTATCAGTATTCACAGGATATATGACGTGTGTGCTACGGTATTGCATGAAATAATCCCGCATCCCTTTGCTATCATCGGGGGACTTTGGGATTGGAATCCCAAACAACATACTCGTAAGTGTGGACACTTATGTTGTTGATTACCTAAGGTTCGCACGAAGCATTACGCTACCGCATTTATTGGCGTATGGTATTGGAGTGGAACTCATTGCCTGCATATTTGTTCTCTGAATGCTATTATTTTTCAATAAGCTAGAAAAATACTATAATACGACACCCCGAGGATGTTATGGATTGATAACATTAGTTAAGGCGATGTAGGTATTTTAACGCGAGCCTAAATTTCGACAGGCGCCCAATAAATGTGAATTTTATAACTTAACCAAAATTTAGAAGGTTCTGTGTAGTACCTACTTAAAGAAAAATATCTCCATATAAAAATGATGTACATAGTTAGATATTTAATCGTAAGTAATTCGTTTCGGAATTTTATTTCAGCTAGTTTTCAGAAATTTAAACCATCGGAGACAGTACATTTTATCGTGTCACACATTTAGCACATAATATTTTTAGGGGTATCGTATATTTTTTTGTAAAATCGTTATTAAATAAATACCTAAACCATGTGATTCGTCTTTAACACACGCGGATACATATGTAGATACAGTACAGTACTTTTGCAATTGAACTAAGAAAAATCAACTATGGTAGTGCCTCCGCTTTGCTCCACTACGAGAAGCTACCTGGATATTTTTAGTGATAAATATCACAGCTTTATGTATATCGTCCAGAAATATTTTACTAGTGCTTTGTTTTGCCTGATTTTCTCTGTTTTTTGCTAATTGTTGAATGCAAATTTGATTGAATTTCTTGTAAAGAAAGTTTAGTCATATAATGTATGGACAGCCTGTCATACTCTCGTGCTTACAAAAAGAATACCTTTATGTACGGACAACGGCACATCTGACTACACATTTTTGTTCGAAAATCGCCTCCAGTACAACGGAACAAGATACGTCAATGTACATATTGCTTGATGTGCTGGCGTGTGTACATTGCTGCATGTGTATTGCTGTGCATACTTTAAAATTTAATGCATAGATAGAATGGTTAGAATGGTTTGTTTTTATATTTAACGTAGTATCGGTATGTATTTAGTTGGTAAGCTCTAATAAATAAAACTGAACCGGTATTTTTTACGAACGAAAGAAGTGCGAATTTGATCTCTATCTCACTTCATCACTTCGACAGTGACCAAAAAGTCGATACTGGAGCATGCACACATATTTGAAAAAAATCTACTAACACTAATTTACAAGCGCTTTTCCTATTATTACTAACAAATTATGGACTCGTTGTCTGAAATAAAAGAATTTTATTTATTTTTTTATTTATAAATAATGCCCATACGCTCGCGACTGGAAAAGATCCAAATTATAGCGTTCAGGAAATAAGTCTGCTGGCAGGGAATTCCACTCCATAGCCGTTCGTCGTATAAATGTGGAAGCGTAACGCTTCGTGCGAATCTTTGGAATATCCACAACGTAAGGGTGGAACCCCAGCCTACATCTAGTCCCCGAATGATGGAAAGGTGAAGGCGGAATTAAATCAAGCAATTCCATCGCACATTCTCCGTGATGTATCCTATAGAATACTGATAAGCAGGCAATGTTATGGCAGTGTTCAAGGCTTATTAATGTATAATTAACGTGACAATTTGAGATGTAAGTTGTTTACCTATGAAATGAAGACATATTATAATTTGAATTTCATATTTTTCTTCAGCCGATACTATCCCATTGTAGGACAAAGGCTTCCCCTAATTTCATTCATTACAATTTAACGCCACTACATGCCGACACCATGGGCATCTAGCTCGTCGCGTTATCTCCTTGTGGTGGTCTTTGCCCGCAGCTCGAATTTGGAGAAAGATACTAATAATTTATTTACGCCTCTGATAAAACATCGTGTGTTACGCCTTAAAGTTTACATAACAAGGAGTGGTTTGTTAGTATTCTCTCAGTTTCCGGTCCCTCATTTTCAAGCTAGGTTAATCAGAAAGTATAATAAATTACCTAATGACATAAAAAACGAAGAGAACAACTACAAATTTATTAAACTACTAAGAAAAAAATTAATTGACAAATTCTATTACGCAATTCAAGAATAATAATAATATAATAACGCACAACACTCAACATAGCCCCGCACTAGGGAAACCCTGTGTCGCGGGTGCCATGGACACACACATAGAGAACCACAAATTACACCCAAACTCACGAGAGAAATAATTGTAGGCCATACAACTATTTCTCCCGGCCCGGGAATCGAACCTGGAACCTCTGCGTGGCAGTCCGGCATGGTAACCGTTCGGCCACGGAGGCAGTTAATATTTATTAATAATTGTAATAATTATAAATATAATTTACAAATTATTTTACAAATATAAATAATTGTAAAATAATAGAATATTTTGAAGATAAACTATTTTAGAATAAAATTTAAATCAACTGTTATACAAATACACTATTTAATCTTACTTTGACAATTTGTAATAATCTTTATATTTTTAGTTTAGCTAATTTAAAATAGTATAATTTAATAAAAGAATTTTACTTAATTATACTTTTGACTATTTGTAATAATTTCTATGTTTTTAATTTATCTAATTTTAAATGAAATATAATATACTGTAATACAACTTTGGATATATTTAGGATGTATTTATAAATTTACATCGCTGTGCCCTTACAGGGTTCATGTTTGGTACTGTACTGTATGTACTAATTTAAGACCTATATTTAACAACATATATGTAATAAAACATTTGAATTTGAATATGAAAGCGTTATAAATGTTGCTGTGGATTATAATGTATTACCTGGGCGCGGAAACAGTGACGATTGCGACGAGCGAACTGCTGAAAAGCCTGTCAACGAGGCACACTTCCTGCCCCGTGCGGCTAGCGTAAATCTCCTCCAGGCCATCGTCTGGAGTCAGCGCGAACAGGTGGTACCCGCTGGCGCTGCCTGCTACCAGCGACCTGGTACACAATACACGTTTATGTACATTCAAATACTGAAGTAGAGGCCTAAAGGTCTTTACAGAATGCCTCGAGTTTTTGATGATCGACATACACATGTCGATCGTCAAAAACTCGATTGTGATTAGACAATCAAACAAAAAAAAAGACAAATTTGAGTAAATGTGTAAGAAACAGACGATCGATATCGTATTTTTCTAGAATGACACGTGTTGATCGTCAAAAAATCGAGTAAAACTGTAGGCACTTTTAAAGGTAAGCGCCCACAGTACCACATCGGGCGGATCGCATCAAACGGATTCGTTTGTGGCAGTTTGTTCACTGTATCCGCAGCAATTAGAATGCTACGCAACTATCGGATTGCCGACGCCACTTTTCATAGCGAGCGGACGAGTGGAACTTATGTGTGTGAGACAATTGGTTTGGATAGTGATGAAGAATAATTTGTCGTTGCGCGCGAGGTACGTCCACTGACCGGCAGTCCGTATGATGTCAATGGCACACATCGAAAAAGTTGCCCCTGCGAGCAACTGCGTCGACATTACCGACATGCCGATACATAACGGTTCATACGGTGCGAACCGGTAGACGCAGTTGTATGAATTTCTATACAAAGAATACTAAAATCCGCAATGCGATCCGTCCGATTTATGCGACGCGGAACTGTGGACGCTTACCTTAAGAATGCATTCTCGAACCATAGAATGCGTAATCATATAATAATAACATATTTAATAAAATACACAGAGTTAAAATTAATTATCATAATTCATAGGCGTGGTAACCAAAAACCGTTATGAGAAGCCCGGCAAAAACAAAAAAAACAATGTGTAGAACAATTTTAAAGGAAAAAAGAACATGATCCTAGATATAAAATATTTACTTATATCTTTACGAGGACATTCCAAAGTGTATAGAAAATATATGTAATAAATGTAGGTAATCTGCATTCATTCGATAAGGAGGTTTCAGGTTGGAATTCCTATTCCATTTGGGAAATACTTTGTTATCAGAATTGGTTCAACTCAGGCTCAATTTCTTTACCTACTCCGTTACTCGGCTTAAAATCTAATTATTGGTGTTGTAGTTTGGCACATTATTATTAGTACAATGACAACTGTACAGTCTTTGTTTTTATTTTGTCGTCATGTAAAATTTTTTTTAACCTACAATAAGCACATCACTTTATCGCCTTTTTTAAGCTGCCTAGTGATGGGACGAACAAGTTAGAGCGCCTGATGTCAAGCGTCACGCTGTCTATAGCAGTCATACTGCCACTAATAGCTTTAAATTGCAAAGATTTGATGGAAACTGATGTGTCTAAACGTATTCTTTTAAATTTTTATTGAATTGATATTCAATTATTTTTATCTGAAATTACTCCATTAGTTTGTTATAATTATTAATACAAAGATCGAACACTCAGAAAAAATTCCTTCGATCCGACATCTCTAGCCGGGGCTGGTAGCTGTAAAGGAATCTAACTGGGTGACGAAATATCATAGATTTCTCATAGATGGCGCTACGACTAGAAAGTCGTTGAAAAACCAAAATACAAAGATACGACGCAAGCACATAGAAAAAATCGTGAGGTCCGCTCATTGACTTACAAATAAATGGACGACGGGTCTAATACACAAACCACGAAAAAAAATGTCCCAAGTCAACCTATTTAAACGTAGTGACATGTAAAGGAATATGAAAAAGCTAAAACGTTGAATTTAAATTGTAATGTCATCGCAGTACTGTCTAATTTTGCTTACTTCGCTGTCAGTCGAACAAACGAAGACTAAAGCGTGAATGACGCTCTGTATACGATTTTAACGCCCTATAAGTTCGGACACTTTTTAGCGCGGACCCGACGTCCATATAATTGTAAGTCAATGGGTCCGCTGGTTAGTTCCGTGGCTTAGTTGGTATAGCGTCTGGCACAGTATGTTATAAAACGTCGGTTCGAATCCGGCTAGATGTATTCTTTTTATTATTGCGGTCTAATTTCAAGTAACAGTTGATTTATTAATATTCATAGTTTAAAGTTAGTGGATTTTTTTATGATATCAATCAAGTGACGGGATGATCGGGAAGCCGTGCGCCTGGTAGTAAGCGACACGTCTATCCATAACAATTGCAGTGTCACTCAGAGCTTTAAATCGCAAAGATGTAAGCACTGCCACTGCCCCTGTCACCATGACGCATAAGGTGACAAGCCTCATGTGGCTGTAACTTCACCAGCACCTATACCCTTCAAAGCCGGAAAAAGGCTATTAACTATTATGATTTATCCAATAATACTTGTTTTATTACTGTCGATTTCTACATAATCTGTGTTATCAGAAACGAATGAGATATGAATTAGATTTTTCTGAATTTGCGTATTCTTTTCGAACATGTAGGTGCACAATTAAGCAGGAAGTGACCACATGGCACTTGCAACTGACAAGGCTGTACTTTGCATATTGTTAATTTTTAACCGACTTCAAAAAAAGGAGGAGGTTCTCAATTCGACTGCACTTTTTTACGCGATAACTCATTTGTGAACTGTTTTAGATGATTCATATTTAGTTGGAAAGAGGGTCCCTCAGTATTGAACCGATTTAAATTTAAAGAAAATATTCCACCTCTAAGGGTTAAAAACTAGGGGATGAATGTGGTTTCGCGCACTATCCGGTAACCGATTTCAATAAAACATGGTAAATAGATGTAATTCCACGCACTTTTGAGGTTTATTTTTTATAAAAAAGTTGTTATTTATTTATTTGTTTTATTTCTCTTTCTTGTTCATGTGTTTTGCAAATCTGATTTTGTAAATTTCTCCTTGCATTTACGAAGTTCCTGCATGTTAATTTCTAAATGTTGCAATTCAATCACTTTTTTATACTCCTAATTATTAATAAGTATCCTGTTTAGAGTTTTGGTAAAGTTTACGATGTGCGCTGTATTGATTTATTAACTTAAAAATAAGGGAAGTTTTTTGTATAGCACATAGAGTAAAAGAAAACAAACTCAAACAAGTAAAAGGAGGTATGATGTGCAATTTTAAAAATATATTCTTAAATAGCTAACACGAATTTTTTGATTATGAAAATAGAAAACGTAATTATTGACGTAAGTTAAGTGCAGTAGTAGCAAAACCTTTACAGGATTTATGACTTTTTTTACGATTCCAAGTGACGGGAAGAACAAGTCGTGAGCCTGGTGGTAAGCGACACACCTGTCCATATCACTTGCAGTGCCACTCAGAAGTTTAAATCGCAAAGATCTGAGGGCCACTGCTACTGCACACGTCACCAGCACAGTGACATTAACTTCCCTCCCTTTTTTTTTTGTGCGCTGGGAAATGCAATTAGCATACCGCGCGGCTCGGTGGAGCAGCGAGCCGTTATGTGGGACTCCCGAGCGGTGGCACAGTATAAACCCAGCGGTTAACCCCACCGCCATAAAGAGGCGTTAGAGGATCCACTTGCGCATAATGCTTTATATATATATATGTGTATATATATATACATATATAAACCGGTTTGGGCGTGCGTTTAGTACATAAATCTATAGAAGATAGGTCTAATAATACGTCTGTAATGATTGCAAGACTGGATCGACTAAGACTTTGTAACGATGGGGTACTAAAGGTATGATCCCATATAAAAAATACGCATTTTATTTTTTTCCTACTAAACTATTAAATTTATGGCAAAATGTGATCTGACAATGTTTAATTAGGACAATAGGATCTCTCGATTGGCATTTTTGTTAGGCATCGTGAAAAAAAATTCCAATGTCCGCAATCTTCCAGATCCGACCCACTGTGTGTCGCAAAGTTAAGATAAATATAGTATACCTGCCTGTCCTCAATTACGCCAATTTTTAATGTTCTTAAATGATTTCCTGAATCCCGAAAAGGTCCAGGACCTAAAAAATATTGTCGTAAGGCAGTCTCCATTTTCTGTCTATGTTCCTCGAATTTTAGGTAAAAAAACTCTTATTGCGATCCCTGATCATATGTTATATTCATTAAATACCAAAAACAAGCTCTGCAACTAGCATATAGAAAAATTCGTAGTTTGTTGGAAGACGTTGGTTCGAATAACTTAAAAATTACAATAAATGATACGATTAATAAAAAAAAGTTTGATACACACAATAAACAAGTGTTGCATCTTACAAAACAGTTCATTAACTGTTGACTGTTGTAATGAATGCAACACATTCTAGATAAAACAATGGTCCATTATAGTCAACACATTTCATGATAAAGAATAATCAAAATGTGGTTGTTAAATTAATGGCTTTATAACATTATAGTAATATACAGACGCGTAAAATAAGTGCTGCGGCATAGAGTTGAGAAAAACAGCCCATTACACCATACCACCACACCACAAGTAATATGTGTGTTTGTTTTCAAAGTTTGTAAATTGCACCATTTATCCCAATTTCGCGTACGATTTAAATAGCTGCCATCCATTGGCGTACAGACCTTCATTCTTTTCGTACTTTATTCTATTCTTCTACACCTCTTTAATTTAGAGAACTCTTTGTTTTTGACTTTTCTACACTTAGCCGTTCCATTTACTACAATGATTTTAACTAGACATGTCCGCACACATCCAACTGTTTTACTCTGTCTGATTATATCTGTTTTATTCTGTTCCTGAATCTACATGACAGTCCTCTTCCCTTAATTCCTTCAAATGACGTATAATAATAATAATAATAACGCACACACTCAACATAGCCCCGCACTAGGGAAACCCTGTGTCGCGGGTACCATGGACACACACATAGACAACCACAAATTACACCCAAACTCACGAGAGAAATAAATCTAAGCCATACAAATATTTCTTTCGGCCCGGGAATCGAACCCGGGCACCTCTCGGGGATCCAAATAAACTTCCTCAATTTTCATCTTGCGTCCCCTATCCTTTCATTAATTGTAATAAATAAAGAAAAATGATAGCATTATTATCACTTTTCTTGATTTATACCTACAAAAGTACACAAGTAAATATTATTATTATCTGTAAGTATTGTACACACGCCAGCACATCAAGCTACATATTGACGTATCTCGTTCCGTTGCACTGGAGGCGATTTTCGAACAAAAATGTGTAATCTAGTGTGCCGTTGTCCGTACATATTGTTAATATTTAATATGTAGTGTATTGTATTTATATATTATTATTATTATTAGATGATAATTTTTGGTTGAACACCCTATCCATCTCCTAATTTTCTGACCTAAAGTTGCAGAAGAAATTGCTACTTTTCAATATCCATTGTTGTATATTAGTTTATTAAAATATATGTTACTGCTATCTGTTGTCATTGTAATGTTTATTGTGCAAGGTTACCATTCTGGACTCGCAAATTTGAAGTTCAGTTAATTGGTTGAAAATTGATATACATCTTAAAATACATTAACAAATAATATTATTTTCATTCATATAACTTTGAGATAAGTTGGAGAAAATATAAATTTTTTGAAAATACATAAAAAATATACTTAATTGTTTTTGAAAGCAATACAACTTACATTATTGACAATTTACTTTGCTACGATTTCTCCAATGTTCTTTAAATTTTTTTTTAATTATATCAAGTGACGGGACGAACAAGTCGTGCACCTGATTGTAAGCTACATGCCTGTCCATAACAGTTGCAGTGCCACTGAAGAGCTTTAAATCTCAAAGATCTGAAGGGCATTGCCATTATGTCCGTCACCCTGCAACATAAGTTGACAAGTCTCATGTGCCTGTAATTTCACCAGCACCCTTACCCTTCTAAGCCGGAACACAGTAATGCTGACATTACTGCTTGGCAGCAGAAATAGGTAAGGTGGCAGTACTTCCCTGGATGAACTCTTTCACAAGGAGCTCTACTGCTATTAAAAAGTAGCTTTACATGACATATGTTACATATATGACATTTATTATATGACAATTATGAACAAAAATTACAATAGTCATCTCAACAATTGTTTTATTATTTATTTATTCAATATTGACTATAAGCATATAACATGTGATAAAGAAATTCAAAAGGCTTGTACATTAGCAAATGACTTGTCCCAACAATGGAGTAAGTGACAACTTTGACTTTTACTCTGGCCACAGATAAGTCTGCCTTAACTTGAATTTGAGATTAGAATTTACGACATACAAGTGTGTTGGCAAGACCTTTAGTTCATGAAAAGCGTCTAAATGGCTTGTGCCGTTTGGAAAAGTCAAGGATACAAGAAAGTTGCATAACACAATCAGCCAAGTAATGACCATGGAAGGAAAGCATCACAAGATTGTTTATTCCTAACTACATTAAAACTATAGCACAGATCTGTTTATGGTTCAAGAACTGATAGCAGATGGATACAAAATAATAAATAAAAAAGATATGAATTTGGCTCTCTACTTCAAAGTTATCAGAAATCTAGTAATTGTATCAACATCAGAGAAAACATAGTATGTGTAAATGAACCATAAAATGGCATGTCAAAAATGAAAATTTACAACACATTCAATATGTATTTAAAGGATTTAAACCAACAAAAAAGAAAACAGTGTCGATTTTCTGTACAACAAAAAACCCAGTGCAATTAGAAAGTCGAATTGCGAGTGAAATTGTATGTCTGCGATTGAGGGTTGTCAAAGTCTTTGCTAGTCCAGAACTGTATGGAGTTTAAGCATTGTTCTTACGTTCATTCATTAATCGGAAACTAGGTAAATGTGTTATAAACTACTCAAACAAAGACAAGATAGATAAGTTCATTGTAACAATGTGTATTTAATTAGTTAATGATATCAATTAAACATGACAATGGCATTGACTTGTTTAAATATAGTGATATGTGTAGAAATGTAATGTTTTAAATAAATATGATGATTTTGTAGCTTTGTCATAATTGCCATTAACGGCATGTAATAATTTAACTTTTTGATTGTTGATCTGTTTCGTGTGTTCACTAAGATAATGTTTTATTTGATTAATTATTCTTCTTGTCATATTGATGGCATAGAATGTAATATAATGCTTGCCTTAGTGGTGAAAGTATTTACCAATCAACGTAACGTATTAGCCAATTGTTGTCCAGGGTGCACCAGACACAGAGGAAATGTATGGCACTTTGGGTGGGGAGGCTGTTTTCATACACCCTTTAATTTTTTTATTTAATTAACTAATAATAGTTTTCAATAACGGCTGGCAAAAAAAGGTGCAATATAAAATGATGGATTTTAAAGACAAAATAATTAAACAACTTTCCCATTTTTATCATCTATGAACGTTCAATATATAACATGAGTCGCAAAAGTGCATAGTAATATCACCACTGTGAAATCCGAAACTAATTTTTTAAATTTTATATTGCAAATCTGTAAACATTCAATTTGAACATGAAAAACGTAAATAATGTTACAACTGTACTAGTAAAAAAAAGTATCATAATTGCACCTCATTATAAAACCATTAAATAAATACCATATGGATTGGTGTTTGAACTTTTTCTGTTTTTACAAACAATTGAATATTATATCTTATATAGATCACGAAACAAAGAAAACAAAAGGTTTTAAAAAAAAATGTTCAATGCAACAGTGGGGTCTTTCAGCTGTTGTCGGGACCAGCGCCATATTTGTTTACGTGCGTGCATTTGCAGGGGCGCATTCTACCTCTGGCCGCGGCAGTGGCTGGCGATGGCGACTAAAATGACGTCGAGGCAGCCAATGACATATTGCATCATCACTCTGCCATCTACACACAGCTGTATGCAGTGACGATAATTCGTGACACTGGTAGCAAGCTGTTTCGCAACATTGGCAAATCCTTGACTCTCAACACAGACTCATATCCCGTTTTCTGCCCTATACTACTAATCATACGCTTTCTTTTATGTAATACAAAGGGTTTAGACGGACTTACGTGCAGTCCTGGTTGAATTGAACGAATATTCCTCCTGCATTCGATCCCTCGGTGGTCTGACCTGTTCCCAGACTCATTGGAACGTCTTTTAATTATCGTTGAGGTGTTCTAAACGCTACGAAATACTGACGACATACGCACACTATACGACCTTTGCAACCGTGCACAAACACTCACTCACTCAATAAGCAAATATTATAAACAGAAAATTCGTCACAAGTAGAATTTTGACACAAAGAACGACCTTGCTGCTAAAAACAAGCCCCTCCCGCACAAGCAATACACTTTGCTTTGCCCCTCGCTCGTCTCATCCCCTCCCTCCCATACGACAATCGGCTGATCGTGCCGTTAGGGCCTCCCAACACAATAGACAAAATCACAGATGCATGTATTTTTAGGCATCAAGAGCGAAATAATTGAAAAAATTCATTAATGCAACCAAATTTTAATTAAGCACAAAACTAAACACAGTAAGGACTTTTATTGCTCAAACTGACGGAAGTAAGTATCACTTATTAGGTGAAGTCAATCACTACTCGATGAGGAATGCCTGGCGTAGCACAGCGCAACTGGTTTTATGTTTTTGACATAGCCACCCGTATTATAAGCTAAGTAGGCACATAAGCGAGCAGTCAGTTATGTTATGATTCATTAATGACTCACTGCCCGCACTTTCAGGCGTGTTCTTTTTCTAATAACACTTGCTATTTTTTATTTCCGCTAAACAGTATTTTTAGTTAAAATTTTATATATCTATGGTATCTTATTTTTTTAAATTAGATTAACTTATTCAAAAAATACAATTTACGTATGTAGTACAAGCAATTAATCAAAATGGGTCAAAAAACCTATCACAAACTCAAATTTCTTTTTTTCGAATTTCATTACTCCGAAACCGGTTGGATATTTTTTCATTAGTGCGATGACAGTTTTGGTATAAGTATGCAACACAGGAATGTCTTACACACAAACCACTAATACTAGAATCTGCTTCAGTTTGACGAGTTGTATTGTGCGACACGTTCTAATATATTTAATATCTGTAATAAGAAGTAATATAACAAAAATGTACCAAGGATATCGTTTTTTTACAAAATAAAAATATTCAATTAGTTACATTGGTCAAACGGTTTGTTGGGGATATAAAAATCGGGAAAAGAAAAACTTGTTAATATGTCAAAATAATGAAACATTAAATGGTGTAATGAAAAAAACCGTAACTGGGTTTCGGACAAATGAAATAGAATCTATTCAATAAAAATCTAAAGATTTTCGGAGAAACAAAATTGTGTAAATCATGTTTCTAGCTTGAGATAGGTAACCATCAAAATGGGTTGTACCGACTGGCTTCCTGGTGGTTGTTCTAGACATTGATATTTAAAAAGAAGAAAACCGCTTCAACAACAAACAATCGAGCTACCATGAAAGGCAACATAGGAAGAGGATGTGACGATGCTGACCTGCTTCATCGTCATCCCACGTTTTAATCACTATTGTTATAGGTTCAAAGTTAAGTAAGATTATAGTCGTCACAAAATAATAGATCATATTTGACAGCTAAACCAGTCGATAGTATGTAACTTTGAATGCAATCAACGAAACAGTAAATAAGCAATTAATAACTTATTGGGTTTTAAAAAAATACATAAATTTTATTGAAGGTCTATACGTTATGAAAGAAACATATTTCAAGTATTATTTTCGCAGGAATTCCAAAATAAAATCCAATTTTGAGTTACTCCGAAACGTCTTATAAACAGTTACATCTTCAGTCTAATTCTTTTTAATAATAGTGTTGTAACCAATAAGCGCCGACTATCATCGAGTCAAATCGGTTTCACTTTAAAAAAAATGACTTATTTAATTACTAAAGTCGTCACAAAATAATAGATCATATTTGACAGCTAAACCAGTCGATAGTATGTAACGTTGAATGCAATCAACGAAACAGTAAATAAGCAATTAATAACTTATTGGGTTTTAAAAAAATACATAAATTTTATTGAAGGTCTATACATTATGAAAGAAACATATTTCAAGTATTATTTTCGCAGGAATTCCAAAATAAAATCCAATTTTGGGTTACTCCGAAACGTCTTATAAACAGTTACATCTTCAGTCTACAAAGAAATAATTCTTTTTAATAATAATGTTGTAACCAATACGCGCCGACTATCATCGAGTCAAATCGGTTTCACTTAAAAAAATGACTTATTTAATTACAAAAACAAAAATTTTAAAGTGCTTACAAAATTAGACTGAGTATACTAGTATTTATAGTAGACAGAACCGTAAAGTCAGATTTGTATTTCCTTTTCTTTATCGCAAATTCTGAAACGGCAACACTGATGTCGATTTAGCGTCACTCTGCATCGGCGCCCGCGCAGTCTTTCGCCGTCTTGGAAGTTGACTGTACGCTTGGTTATTCGTGGTGTTTTTTCTTGTGACTCGGCTGTGCTTTTGGACTACTTCTATTTTCAATCTCGTTGACCTTGGCTTGGATATTTTGGACTTGATTCTGTGTGAACTCTTTTTCAACATGTCGAAAAGAGGACGTGCTTTAAATAGCCAGACTCGCGAACTGGTTGTGAAATTACACGACTATTTCGAAAGGGAGTCACTTAATGGTGGACCTCTATTACCAGTGACACAAGTGCAAAATCGCGTCGCAAGTGCACTTGGAATCGGCAAAAGAACGGTACACACCATCATACAAGAAAAATATGGGCCTTCCGGCTCTCAAGAAAACGTATTACATACGCCTAGAAAGAGGAAGAAAAGCAAGCCTGTAACAGGTATCGACACGTTCGATGCAGACGCTATTCGTAACCATGTTTATACATATTATACTAGACACGAGTACCCTACTGTGAGTAAATTGTTGGTATCACTTCGAGAGCTTGGCTTATTTACTGGGAGTGCTACCTCACTGATTACAATTTTGAAAAAAATTGGTTTTAAATACAAGAAGTCTGACAAAAGAAATATTATGATGGAAAGACATGATTTAATATTACAAAGAGTTTCATTTTTGAGAGAAATGAATAAAATTACAAATTGGGATAATGTTGTGTTTATCGATGAGACTTGGTTGAACTCAAACCACACAGTACCACAATCATGGACCGACGACACTAAAGCATCCAGCTCGAAAGTGCCAATGGGAAAAGGTGGTCGCCTCATAATTTGCCATGCTGGATCAGCCGGGGGAGGTTTCGTTAATAATGCTTTACTAGCATTTGAATCAAAAAGTACAAAAGAATATCACGAAGAAATGGACGCAAACAAATTTAAAGAGTGGTTTAAAACTTTACTTCAGAACCTCCCCGAACAATGTACAATAATTATGGACAATGCATCGTATCATTCGGTTCAAATAGATCGAGCGCCGACTCAGGCAAATAAAAAGGCTGATTTGGTGGCATGGCTACAGAGGAATGGTGTCGAAGCTGACATGGAGCTATTGAAAGTGGAATTGTTAAGATTAGTGCGAGAGCATAGACCTACAAAACTTAGGTATGAAATTGATGAATTGGCACTTGAGCATGGACATAAAATTATAAGGACACCGCCGTACCACTGTCAATACAATGCTATTGAGTTGATTTGGGCTCAAATTAAAGGTTAATATTTTTGCATTTAATACTGTTATTTTAAATTCGTATATATTAAGACTTATTTTGTACTAGTAGCATATTTTAATAAAGTACAAATGTAAAGAGGTAACATATAAACTTTCGAATTTGTAATATCACTGTGAAGGAACATTACTATTTTACAACAGTGTTTTTTTTTTACAGGCTACGCAGGACGTAATAATACTAAGCCACCGTTCTCCACAAAAAAAATGATGACTTTATTAAAGGAAGCATGTACTAAAGTAACAAAGGAAGACTGGAGAAAGGTGGTGGAAAAAACTAGAAAACTAATAAAAGAAGATTTTGACAGAGATGTTAATATTGATAATTTAATTGAAAACGAGTTAATTATATGGACTGGTGAAACTAGCTCAACAGATGGTTTTGGTTCATCTTCCGATGACGTTGATAAATAAAAAATTCCAATAAGGAGGTCTTTTGTTTTACTTCAGAATTTTGTTATTTACGTACAGGTTATCCTCGTGAACTATGCTAATGTATAACTACAATACAACAACAAGTACAGGTTGCCGTTGTGCTCACTTAAAATACTTACTTATTATTTCTATTAAACTGTATAACGTTTAAATAAATGTTGATTGATATATCTAGAACTGAAAAGCAATGAACAGAAAAATAACCTAAACGATTACAAACTCCTAAAATTTTTAATCGATTTCTCGTGAGAATCGTTTAAACTGGTTACCGATATTGCAGTTCACATCACTATTTACGTTGCGATGACATGTGTCAAATATGATCTATTATTTTGTGACGACTATAGTAGAGGAAAAAGAAATTTGAGAATGATTAAAAATTTTTAAAATAAGTGTATTTTAAAATTTTGTTTATTTTAAATATTTTAAAAAAGCGAGAGCGCGTGCCTATTAATCATCATGTTAAACCCAATTTCGCGTAATTTAACTGTTTGAGCTACTTTATCTGAGAGCCTGGGATTTTACATGCGGTAACCTATCACAAACTCGAGTTTTTTCCGGAATAACGCAAAAACACATAAGTTAGGTTTACAAGAAAAAAATATTTTTCTGTCGTAATTACTTTCGAGGTTAAGAAAATTCGAGAAAACGTTATTTCTGGAAAATGTCATTTCGGACTACTGATAAGTAACATTTGCGTGCAGGTTTAAATCTAATAATGCAATGAAATATAAGGTCTACCGTGTGCGATGAGCCTGAGTTTATTTTTCTTAATTTTGTTCGAATACATATTATAAGACGGGCTTATCCGCTCTCACTATACAGGCTGTATATTTGAAAGTGAGATATATTCATACATATCATATCTATACAGTAAATCATGTTACAACTTAATATAGGCTAAAATAAAATTAGGATATGGGATATAACAAAAAAATAAATCAACAAATTTGTTTCGGAGTGTACATAGGAGTAAACCTATTCCCTTTACGCTTGATTTCGAGTGCAATGGGAATACTACCAAGCGAGCGCCGAGTGAGACTGCAACAATAACAGTGATTTCACATCTCCCTTCCTGCTAAAAGCACCTCTTTTCTCTAGAAAGTAAAAAACTAAGTTACTCACCTACGCATATTTATGTTATGATGAAAAGAGCTGTTATCGAAATGGTTACGCTTTAGCTAATGCTAATTATTTTTTACTTCTGAACTGTCGTCGAAATGTTTTACGTAATAAAAAAGATAATTTATGATTATTTATGAAAAAAAGTTTATGATTTAGTAACTAGTTATCATTTAATAAGAATTGAGGTTTTTGGCGTAGTTAAAAATGTGAAATCAAAATATTTACAATGATTGATTTTTTAGTTATTATATGTATATATGTTATACAGTTTATTTACACTTACCTGGTAAGGAGCAAGTGTATTACGTATGTACAAGTATTCGTTCCATAGATCAATAAAAGGTCAGTGTGCAGTTTAGAGCATATCAAGCTTGACATTTGGAACTTCGGGCACTTGTTATCTAAAGCGACATAGAGTCGCTATAGAGTATAAATATTAAGCGTAAAACTGGACGTGCTTTAGATCCTGTGCAAGGAGGACCTGGAAAAATATTACAGCAGTAAGGCTTAAAGTAAGTAATACCTGCAAAGATCATGTGCTTTTAAATAAAAGATACTTACTTATATTGCTTGCATACATCATAGAAAAAATAGTGAGCGTTCAGAGAAGTATTTGTCATCAGAACTGTCTCAGAAAGGAGTAGAAAACGTGCGTTTAGTTTAGCCTTACTTTGCACGCTTTGCATTGGCATAATGCATTTCTCTTTCGCGTAGAACAAGTATCCGACCGACAGAACTGTCAATGTCAAAGTCACAACACGTGCTGCTGTTGTTGTTTTGTTAGTTTCTTGATTATTTGGATTACTGTTCCTCTTAACATTTAAAAAAAGTTTTGGCACTAGACCAATTAAAATTGTAAAATGTATACCTTTTTTCCTTTTCATTATTTTATCTACTTGTTTATTAATTTTTAGTTTCTTTATATAACCCCCCCTGTTTATAACTACACTGCTTACATTAATTCATTAATGTACCTAAAAAGTTTACTAACAACCCTGTTTTATTAGGCTATGCTTTGTCTTTGTGTTGTCCTGTGATGTTGCAACTGTGTGCTTTGTTTTAGATAAACCCGCTTCGAGTCTCACAGACAGCAGTAAGGGTCAAAATTGTATTTGAAATAAATCCACTCCTCCCGTGTAGAGGCGACCTACGTGACATTACGGAATTGTGAAAGATACAGAACAAGCAATAAATAAAGAGAAGAAGAAGAAGGGCATTACTGTTCTTTATTTTAGTAGGTGAAACATGACATTATTATTTTAAGTGATAAAGCTCTATCTGCCACCAAATAAAACAGGGAACTCTATTATGACCTCTTTTTCAGAATTTTAACGAAAGTAAACAACACAAATTTGTGGTTAAACTGTTTGAATAACACTATGGTAAATAAGTAGTTTCTCAGTAATAGACTACATTCTGAGAGCAGTATAAACTTGAAATTCTACAGTCGAGCCGCCACTACGAGCTTGTAGTACGATGTCAGTTTAACCTAACTGAAATATTTTAGTTCTATGTAATTTACAGAATCTATATTTAAATTTCAATTCCGATTCTGTGAAAGTGAAGGGATTGAAAAGATAAATTTAACAGTTCCTTCCTGTCGCAGCCCATTTCATCAAATAATTCGGAATAACCTTTCTATTACTTATAAATTACCACACATCAAACCTAAAGTTATAATCTTATAAGTATTATAATGTAATGCAAATTAACTAAAATAATGGATAACTCACATATTACGTATTATGTAGAACATATTGAAGTCGAATTTTTGCTTGACATGTTTTGAACCACTTTGTGGTCCTAAATCATGATTAAGGAGTATTTTGTATATAAATGTTTATTAAAAAGACTAAAAGTAATATGACATTGGTATTATCTCAGTGTATCTTATGAAAGGATAATAACAAAGAACAAAAATGAAGAAGCCTTTAACTAAATAATAATGTGACTAAGGCAGTACAGAAAATTGATATCTCTTTTCTATGGCTTTGAAATGTTTGTGACAATTTTTTTATATTATTATCTGTTTTTTTTAGTAAGTGGTAAAAGGATGGGACGAAAAATACCAGCAAAGAAGCACCGTGGTGTCAAAGATCCCTTGCAGCAACAGGCTAGACGTCTGCAAAGGTAAGTGTGGTAATATGTTCATGATCATACATTCACACTTCTGGCCTGTCTGCTCATATCAATAATAGTCCTGTAAACTTATAACAAATAGTCATTTTTCAATATCATCTAACCTAGATATATACAAAGTGTTTTTAAAATGGGACAGTATCGGAAAATCCGAAACCATAGAAGATACAAGGAAAGTTTTAGGAACCATTAAATCTTTTCTTTTTTTTAATCTAGTTTTAAGAGGCCTGAAACGTTCGGGCGTTTATGTCGGTCTCGTAATGTATGTATACATATCAATAAGTCTCCTATTTTATCTGACACTACTCCCATGTGAGGTATAGCACTCTTCGTCAACGGGTCACTCAGCATTAAATTTAGCTATCCCACCTGACCGATGTCCTGCAATTGATAATGGACCGCCCGCATACCGATCACATTCCATTAAATGAAGCATGTCCTCCAACTTGTTACAGAATTGGCATTGAGGGGATTCTGCCTTTCTCATGAAATAGTAAAACTTATTTAATGAAATGTGACCAGAACTCAGTCTAAGAGCAATTATTAACAGTGACTTGGATAGTCTACCCTCCTCGAACCAGGGCTTTCTTGGAGGACGCAATTGGATAGTTTTGTACTATATCCCCTTGTCACAGATATCTCATCATAGCTCTTAGCCCATTGATCCATATTTAGGTCCCTTACAAATGGGATAAGTTCTGTGGCAAAGGGCATGCCTGATGGTTCTAACAGCTTGGAAATAGCCTCCCTTGCTAGTCTGTCTGTTACTTCATTTCCTAGAAGTCCGATATGTCGTGGTATCCATTGAAGTGTTATGTTAATATTATTGGACTAATTAATAGGTTAATAGGTTAGGTTAGGTTAGGTTAATTAAGTTAGATTAATAGGTTAGTCATTAATTTTAATGCCTCATATGCTATCGGCATGCCTCGACCTCCAAAGACACATCGAACCAAGTGCTGAAGTGCACTTATAGAGTCAGTGAGAATAAAGATTTTGTTTGAATCCAAAAAACTAACAAAGGATAACGCTTCCACTACGGCAAATAACACCGCTCTTATTATGCATGCTTCATAACCCAATTTAAGTTTGAATGGTACATTTTGTTGCTGGTCGTAAAAGGCCGCGCCAACACCATTGAAGTTCCTTGAAACCATCAGTAAAAATCCTATAGTAGCCTGTATTTATGAGTTAAAAAACTACACAATTATTTAAATACACCGTCTTACATACATGAGGAACTCTTTCACAAGGAACCTTGCATTCGCTCGATAAATCTATTCACGAGTGCGTACATACAATAAATTGCTTGTGCATGCTCGGTCGTTAGAGAGAGAGAGCGATCCCAGTTAGTTCGTTCGGATGAATGAACTAATTCGGTCTTTCAGTTCCTTAATTCATTGGGGGTATTTGGAAGCTCTTTGCTATTTTATTATTATTTTGATGACACGAGCTGGCAAAGGTTCAATCGTGCATCTCATTCGAACTTGTACTAAAGGCCATGATAGTCCATTAATTCTCTCGTTCGCTCCATCTCGCCTCGCGTCTGTGAACTGAAAGAACTAAAAAGACAGGTGAACTAATAAGATCTCTGTGGCTCCGCGAACGCGGGCGCGGATGGGCACTGTGCACGCAACGAGCCTCTACGTACATTTGATTTAGGCCAATGGTTTACACTGACGATAAACCAATGGTTTGTTTACACTACAATGGTGATGGTTAGAATATATGTAAATGGTGTGACTTAAACCTGTATGTCGCAGAAGTTTCATAAAACTCTTTCAAGACCAGTAAATTCCCCAACCTGCATTAAGTCAACGTGGTGACTATGAAACTTGTGTTTGTATGGCTTTAGGCAGTCAGTTGGCTACATCAAGGTGTTGATTTGTGCAGTATACAGAGCAAGATCAACGCGCCGCCGCGCGATCCAGACGAGCAGCCCGTGCCGCGTTCGCTCACGCGTCTCTTCCAGTTGCCAGACCCTCGCAAGCCAAAGTCTCCTCGAAACAGACATCAACGGCCAATTGAGAAGAAGGGTAATTGTTTGAATGCTGGTTGTAACACAAGCGATTAAGTCTACGTAAATAATAAAGAATATACCTAGGTGCCGCGATTTGTATGTATTGGAAATGGTTTTTTTTGTAAGCAACACGCTTTGTCCATAACAGTTGTAGTGCCACTCAGAGCTTTAAACCGCAAAGATCTGTCACCCTCCCCGTCACCGTCACCCTGAGACAAGTCCCATTTGCCAGTAATTTTACCAGCACCCTTACCCTTCAAAACCGGAACGAAGTAATGCTGACATTACTGCTTGGCGGCAGAAATAGGTAAGGTGGCAGTACTTCCCTGGACAAACTTTTTCATAAGGAGCAGTACTGCTTCTGTACAATATAGGTCGCATGGTTACGGTTGACTGATAATAAAAAGAGGAAATAATCTCTGTGCAGAGTACTAAAAAAACCGACCTTAAAAGTTCGTGAAATTACATCTATTTGCCAAGTTTTATTGACATCGGTTACCGGAACTTGCGCGAAACCGGATTCATCCCTTGCTTTGCCATCCTTAGAGGTGGAATATTTTCTTCAAATTTAAATGGGACCAATACTGAGGTAACCTCTTTCCAACAAAAAAAGAATTATCAAAATTGGTTCGCAAATCGCGTAACATATGTACCTACATGCAAAAGAAAAAACGTACAATCGAATTGAGAACCTCCACCTTTTTTTGAAGTCGGTTAAAAACAAATGCCTATACGCGATTTATACCCGAAAAAAATAGACTAGAAATAGACATTTTTGTCTTTCTGTGTTACAACAATAACCGAAATACTGTAACTAAATATACTTTAATGCATACATTTTTTACCTTTTACTCGATATTTAGAACATTTCATAGGGTCTTCTCCCTGAGGCATTGTGCCTAGGAGGGTGGCAATCTTTTCTCCTTTAAATGGCTGAGTTTATATATTATTTGACGGAAGTAACTGCCACCCATCTCACCAGAAGCTGTGACAAGGCGAACTGAAAATGTGTTACTATAATATGTTGCCGTTTTTGTACACTAAAGAATTATAAGTTTTTTATAAAAAAAAACCACCTTAAAAGGGAATTACATCTATTTGTCAAGTTTTATTCCCATGGTAAAAAGTGCGCGAAACCGGATCAATTCCCTAGTTTGCCAACAGTTAATTTCACATTTCGGACCGGTGAGTTGGCCGCCTAGATCTTGGGACATCACACCCTTAGACTTTTCCTTTGGAGCTATGTGATGTCTAAAATCTATACGGATAAGCCGGGTACGATTGAGCAACTGGAAACCAACATTACTCGCGTTATTCGCCAAATGCCAATGGAAATGCTCGGACGCGTCATCGAAAATTGGAACTGCAGAATGGACCACGTTAACCGCAGTTGCGGCCAATATTTGAAAGAAATAATCTTTAAAAAATAAATATAAAGAATGTTGTAAGGTTTTTCTTTGTATGATAATAAAGATAACCCCATAAATTTGATTTTATTACATTTTTTTAGTTTTGAAAAAAGTACCTCCATATGAATCGCCCATTGCATACAATAAAAATACAGTCGAATTGAAAATTGTTATCACAAATCTACGCAACGTCTAATAACGTCCAACAAACTGCCGTGCTGTTTGGCGGGCTTTAAATAGATAACTGAGTGTTTTGAAAAAGGACGAGGTTCTCAATTTGTCTGTATTTTTTTTGTATGTATGTTATGTGCTAACTCGCGGTTGATATGAACCGATTTCGATTCGTTTTTTGTTGGAAAGAGGGTACCCCAGTATTGATCCCATTTCAATTTGAAAAGAAACATTCCATCTCTAAGGGTGGCAAACTAGGGGCTGAATCCGGTTTCGCGCATTTTCCGGTTACCGATTTCAATAACACTTGGCAAATATATGTAATTATTTATTAACGAACTTTTGAGGTAGGTTTTTTTATAATAAAGTTATATTAGTATGTGTGTATTGTTTTGTTCTGTCTATGATTCTGAGTGTGGTCGGCAGGCGCCACAGGTGGCAAGGATGCCGCGAGGGGGGTTCGCGGACTTAAGCGTGCTCCAGGCGAAAGCGCGCGCGACTTTTCGCGACGCATCACGGGCGCTGTACGCGCTTTGCACGACCCGCTGCCAGAACACTACCCCGTAATTAGAACTATATTTATATCATCATTTACACAGCTTGGTTTCATCCATTGCGGGGTATAGGCCTTCCGTAGTTTGTAACATTTACCACGATCCTGTGCTAATCTCACCTATTTACGGCCCGCAACTTTGACGATGTGTCCACCCATCTCGCTACACGTCTCACGTTTCTATAACCGTTTCTTGGCTACCATTCGGTTATCGCTTTACTCCATCGGTCTTCACCACAACCCGGAATATGTCCTGCCCAGCTCCATTTTAAGTCCGTTATCAGATCTCCTACGATGGTTCACGTGAATTTATTTGTTTATTTCATAATTATTTGTTTATTTTCACAAATGAAAGTATAATATACTATATCCACATACCAATACTCTGTTTTTAAGTAAACGAGGTGCCACAAGTCCTTTAAGAGTATGTGAGTGTGCAGTTGGATGTGTAATGGGATGTTCATGGAAACTTGTCCAGCCATCAAGAGCGTCTGAAGACATTTATGAAAGACGTTAACAAGTTGTGTCGTTTTAGCAAGAGACCTCTGCTTATGCTTTCGCAATTGTGCAGTTCCGTAATTACAGATGTTCCGCGCACTTTTTTACGTCTGTTTCCGTTTCTGCTACCGCAACATTTGTAACGGAACTTTAATCGGAAGTTTACAACGTTTGAGACAGATCAGGCGCTAGTGCCGATTACTTGGAGACCGCTTGAATTTCACTTAAATTGTGAAACCAAAACAAGCCCTGTTGGGAACTATTTTGTTGAGTTCTTTGTAGTATTTACACTTCCGCTTCCGCATCCGCTTCCGTTTCAGCTAAGATTTAACTTTGACATCTGTTTCAGTTCACTTCCGTTGCATCACTAGTTTTAATATTAAATATCTTTTGGTTTTGTTTGTCCTGTAAAAACAAAATTTGTGTAACAGGGTGGGGAGGACGACGATGAAGAAGGCGTGGAGGACAAAGGCGCACGACGGCGCAAGCGTAAACAGAAACAGCAGCAGCAGAAGGGAGAAGAGCAGCCTGCCGACCGACAGACGCGTGCTCAGCGACGACGGCAGAAGATGCAGCTAAAGAAGAAGGAGAAACAGGTACTATCAGCCAAGCTGAAATTGTCCCAGTTTCAAAACCTAAGGACTTGTTAACCTCTTTTGTTTTTAAACGCGCAAACATCGCGCTGCAAGCAAGAAGCTTATATACTCCACTGAAGTATACACTTAGAATTTCATGTAAGTAGTTGCTTCATTTCAAAAACTAACTGAAATTAACAAACTAAACTAAAATTACAACTATCTCTTATCAAAATGCGCGATACATATGCGTGGCTACAGTGCGTCTGCGGCGTGTATACGCGCAGATGACGCGCGTTTACGGCGCGTATAAAATACGCTATTTTGATTTAGCCGTTAAACGCCATTGCTTGACTGGAACAAGCAAGACGCAGGTGGCTGCTCCTTACCACAGTTGCCTGCACGCAAAAAAACTTTTAACATGGTAATGCATCGACTTTGCTCGCTTGAAGTCCTATACCGGTCCGAGTAAGCGCCGAATCTGATGACGTTATTAATATTTTAACTGTAAGCTAAGAGTCACGGGTTACTCGAATTATTTGCAGAAGTAGTTCAGCCGTACAAGAAATGAAGTAAAAATGTTTTCTGTCTAAAGGCTGCGTCGACGGCGGAACTTCGTGAAGTGCAGTTCGAGCGTGTGCCGTTCGGCGCGGTGGCCGACGCGCCGCCCGTGCTGACCGCGCCGCGCCGCGCCAAAGCCGCCGCCGCGGCGCCGAGGGTAAGTGCGTTTGCGCTTTGCGTCCTTCCACTTCCGATGTGTCGCTTGTGCACCTAGAGATAAAATGTCGCTTCGGACACCTGTGACATTTCAGAGGTTCAGAGGTTTCAAAACACTCGTTGAGCTGAAAAGTTTTTCTACACCTTTTTTTTTTGAATTTGAATAACAATATAAGCAGATACGATAAATAAATGATAGAATTTATTGTCCTAACTGTATGCTTTCAAACAACCAGTTTTAGTGAATTTTCTGATAAGCCGGCCAAACCGGTCGCTTAAAACCATGGCGTCTGCTATATGTTTAAATTTAGCTTCGTTTGCGTCGGTTAGACAATATGTTTTGTTCTTGGAAGGAAAGGGATACTGTACCTTTAATATTGTATAGGTGTATGTGAGCCTGAAATTATGTTTGGTATGCTTTCTATTTATAAATCTGTCGGTTTATACTTTTAGCCGGGCCAGCGCGGGCTGCTGCTAAGTGCGATGCTGCGCGCGCCGGCTGCCGCCGAAGCCGCCGAGCGCCAGCGGCTGGCCGCCGTCGCCGCCTATCGCGCTCTCAAAATTAGTCGACGCGGAAAGACGAAAACTACGTCGTGATAATAGTACGCACAATTATTGTAATAATGTACATACAGTGTAACGGAGTGAAAATATCGGCAGCGGGTGAATAGGGACTTGTGGATGAATAGAAACTCTAAAGAAGTCGTCAGATTCAAATGTTTACGCTTAAGTGGTCGAAATAAGCTATTGTAGTTATTTGAAAGATTTAATATAAGACTCAAGGACTCGGGGATTCGTCATACACATATTACAAATATACTTTTCCTACAAAAAAAAAACAGTGATGGCACCCGTAGTGTGTTTACGTCGTCCTGAAACTTCTGTATACAAAATGTATATAAATATAATATCTACGGAATAATTAACGAAAATAGCAAGAAGATTATTGTAAGAATATTCTTTATGTCATATTTAAGTACTGTACGACTTAGTAATCCGGAGTAAATTCCAAAAATAACGGCGCCAGCTGCGGCATTGCACCTGACTGATCTCCAGACTGTTAGGTACCATTTTTACCTCCATATTTTTAGAGTCCAAATTTCCTCGTTTCACAGTTACATTATGTCTCATTTTTGGTTACAAGTAAAATAATTTTGTAGCAAATAATAACTGATTTAAAAGTTTTCATTAACGATTTATCATTTTGTTGGTTGTATTGATTCTACTTGATATGATTAATGATTTTATTGAATTTATGAGCTAGGTATCTTCTAAGCGTGTATCACCCTAATCCGCATGTTCACTTCAGACCAGACGGTTTACGAATGTAGGCTTATCTTAAATTAAAATAAATGAAAAGAATCTAGAAATTATCTTCGATGCAACCACAGTTTGCTATTGACAAAACTGAATTGACCTACGGTAATAAATTGTATTGAATTAGTTGACCCATTTCTTTTATTCATACTCGAGATTTTTTCACCCCTGAGTTTCTATTCGCCCCAGCGGTTCTGATCCATCTGACATTGCTTTCATTTCAATTATAAAATTTTTGTCATACACAGGAAAAGAATCGTACATCGCAGTAACGAATGAAGTGGGCAAGTGTCACACCCGTCTGATGTACACAGCGTGCGTGCGTTTTTAACCAAACTTTCCGTATATGAAGGGGAAATGGGTGGGTGCTAATGACAAGTGCTGTGATGTAATACGTGCTGTGAACTTTCGATTTAGTGTCAATACTGAACACGTGAATAAATGATAAATGTAAATAGTAAATAATATGTCTTTTATTCATATTTCGATGTCGAGGAAACCGATTGAAAGTTACAATTTCTTCAGGAAAACCTTCTTCCGGCGGCAAAAATTTTGAAATTCTAGAACCATAACAACCAACAGATCTGATGTAGTCGGAAAATTCTAGTACTCAAATTGATTGTCGCCATTGGTGGCGTAGCGGTTAGCACTCTGAGTGCTAGAAAAAGACGACCTCGATTCGATTCTTGTTTTTCTTTTTTTTATACATGACAGGCAGATGACTCCACTCTACCTGATGTTAAATGGTAAATGGAATTCAAACGTGAAGGAACTTAATGCAGTGTTGATACAATCACTGCCTTAGATACCTCCATCCTGTATGCCTACAAGATACCTCTTCACGCCTCGTTTGAAGGACCCCATATCGATCGTAAGGATCCTTGTAGGATTAATATTGGAAAGTAACTTTCCATTTGACAATCGTTTCTACCTAACATGTTTGCTAGAACCTATAATTCTTGTTTAGTGTAATTAACTTAATGTCTATGATATCGGTGGCCTAGCCGTTAAAACAGTGATGCGTCCTACGCGTTCGATTTCGGCTAGGAGCAATTTGTGAAATGAACTTGGTTCGGACCTTAATTTTCTTTTTTATTATATCAATTGACGGGACGAACAAGAAATGCGCCTGACGGTAAACAACACGTATGTCCATAATATGTACACATAACACGTATGTGCCGCTAGAGCTTTAAATTGCAAAGATCTGAGAAGCACTGCCACTGCACCTGCCACCTTGAGACAAGTTGACAAGTTCCCCTGTGCTTGTGTGTTACATTACGAGGACTAGCCCTGGAGCTTCCGTCACTCTGATACTCTTTTAGTTTAATAAGTAGTAATATCTTCCTACCTCGATGGTAAACGTCGCGTGTAACGCGTATGTATACATATACACGCGTATATTTTTAATCGAAGATAATAAACTGACAGTGGTTTGTTATTTTTTTATTACATTTAATGCATTTCATGTTACTTGTTTTAGAACTATATTGACTTTGAATAGTAATGTTTCCACCTGGACTGCGTTATCTGTGGCCGCGTGGAGCTCTTACCTCGTACAGATAGTAGGGCACATGGGGCGCTACAGTAAGTACTGCATGGACTGTATTGGGGCACCGCAGTCATATTGGATTAGTCTAATCTTAGAATTTGATTCGACTATTTTAAGTAGCAGTAGAGCTCCTTGTGAGAGAGTTCGTCTTCGTCCAGGGAATTACTGCCACCTTACCTATTTCTGCCGCCAAGCAGTAATGTCAGAATTACTGCGTTCCGGTTTGGAAGAGTAAGGGTGCTGATGAAATCTGTAATTTCGGGATTTGCACACGGGACTTATCAACTTATGTCTCAGGGTGACGGGCGCAGTGGTAGTGCCCCTCAAATATTTGCAATTGAAAGCTCTGAGTGGCACTGCAATTGTTTTGGACAGGCGTGTAGTTTACCATCAGCGCACACGACTTGTTCGTCCTCTCACTTGATGTTATAAAATAATAAAAAAATTAACAAAAAAATACTAGCATTCCTGAAACCCCATTTACAGATCTTGTCTCTGTTCAATTTAACACTTAAGGCTCAGTTTACATTGCGGCGGAGCGGAATTAAACGGATTTTCGCTGGAATGCTGTAGTATTTCGTCAGCGTTTGACGTCACACTGCGCCTGCCTTCGCGCCACTTCCCGCGAACTCGCCAGGCGTCGCCGACGGCAGCTGCGGAATTCTCGCGAATGCGCGAGAATTTATCTAGTTTGTACGTTGCACAATTGACCATAAAGTTCATTACACTATATACAACATCGTTACATAAATTGACTTTCGTTCCGTTCCGCCACAATATAAATTGAGCCTAAGTTCAGACTTGCTATTTGGCTAGGCGGTAGGACATACTCGAAATACATAAGTACGTAGTAATTAGTACAATTGAATTTAATTTATAGTTTCATGTGCGTTGTATTGTGGATTTGAATCAATGTTATAATAATTTTCATTACCAACATACGATATGGTCTGAAATAAAGTATTATAATTTAAAATAAAACAACATGATGAACTCTCAAAGAGTTTATTTAACGTATCTTCGTTATGTTCTTCGAACACACACCAATACACATTAATATTTGTCTCCGTGATTGTCCGCGTGGTCGCATCCGCTTATCAAGTACGTAGATATGTACGGCTCGCTCTTTAGGCCGCATAAAGCTTCGACTCTCAACGTTTTACGTCCTAACCTAACTTGTACTTTTTCACCTAAAATAAATAATTTTCTCCCTTAAATCTAAATCTATCACTGTCGTCACAAACATTAATGGGCTACGCACTGAGTGCGACGCCGCGAGGTTGCCATAATATAAACATAAACACAGCAAGTACGCGTTTGCTCAATTTGTACGGGAACAGCGGAACGTCGCGCCCGGTGTGTGGGCTTCTAAGTCACGACTACCTAAGTACGACGTTTTGCGCATCGCTAAATAGAAGCGAAACAAGAGTAATAAATAGGTAATGATGACATATTATTTATCGCTAGAATCACATCATCTTTCTGACCGCAGGCCGACAGGCCTCCGCGGCGGACGACCGCAGCCTGCGGCTCCATCACAGCTGCTCGGCTTTTGACAGCCACTCTCTTTAAAATACACTCCAAAATATATTATTATCTTATTTATACTTCTTTATCTAAGAAGAAAATTTTACATCGACTCCCGAGGGTCGATCGAGAAGCTCACTCAAGGGAACGTGTTACAGAACGTAATCTACTTATAGAATTATTAGTAGGTACATATAAATTTATATCATCGTCTCTTTTTCGTATAATATATCACACTCTCAAAGTAATCTCAAAAAATATCGTCTCGCAGTAAGGTACGGGGTTTCATAAATATCACATCACAAGGTTCAGACGTGGCCGGGGGGTGGGTCGCCTTCGGCAGGCGCGGGGAGCGCGGCTTTGGTGTGATGCACTCGCTCGTCAGCGGCCAACAATCGATCTAGCTCCTCGTCCTCGTAGAACACGACGAAGTGCTCGGGTTTGGCGACGGCCTCGAAGATGGAGCATACGGAGGGCTTCACGTTGTAGAAGTAGAGGGGTTGGCGCCGCTCGTGGAAGTCGGCGGTCAGCTGCTCGATGCTCTTGGCCGCGGTGTAGTCTGCGCTGTAGATGTGCGTGCACTCGAGCACGACGGGCACGCTGCTGCTGGACGCGCATTTGGTCACCAGCCGGCGCACGTAGTCCACCGACGGGAACATGAGGCAGCGATCTGGCGTTATCATCAAATACTCAACGCCCGCTTCCGTCTGTAACAATTGTAGTGTTTTTTAAATGGGACAATATGGGCAAATCCGAAAACAGAAGATACAAGGAAACTGTCTTAGGAACCATTAAGTCAGGCACATGGGACTTATTAACTTATGTCTCAGGGTGACGGCGGCGCAGTGCCAGTGCCCTTCAGATCTTTGCGATATGAAGCTCTGAGTGGCACTGCAATTGTTATGGACAGGCGTGTAGCTTATGAACAGGCGCACGACTTGATCGTCCCGTCACTTGATATTATATCAAAAAAATTTAGGCGTTGTCAATTTTTTGGTTAAACTCAAACTCAAACTCAAAATAATCTTTATTTCATAGGTAAGCATTATTACACTTGAAATCGTCACAATGGTTAAACTCTATCGCTCATTCGTAAGGCAGATTCCCCTGAGAAGAATGAGCAAGAGACTCTAGGGGTTGCTCTTTGTAAATAGCATTTACAATATATTTTTTTTTATTTGAAACATCAGAGATCGAGACTACCTCCATGAGCTAAACGGGTTACTACCACGGATTTTTGTCATCCAAGTATGCAGAATTTTTCATAAAGAAATTACTATTCCTTTTAACATAAATTACATTTTCATAAATGTACTGTGAGGCTAGTGTAAGAATGTTAATTTCCTTAAACTTATCTCTCAGAGATACTTTGGGGCCCAGATTGTAAATTGCCCTAACTGCACGTTTCTGCAGGACAAAGATTCTATTGATATCGGCGGCATTACCCCAAAGCAAAATGCCGTATGTCATTAGACTGTGAAAGTAACTGAAGTAAACCAATCTAGCGGTTTCGACGTCTGAAAGTTTCCTTATTTTTTTAATCGCGTACACTGCAGAGCCGAGCCGTTTTGATAACCTACTTATATGGGGACCCCATTGCAATTTAGCATCTAACGTTATACCTAGAAATACAACTGTATCCACAAGATTAAAACAAACAAGGTTAAGGATGGGTTATCCATAAAATGGATAATATTGATTAAAAATTTTTTATTGCTGATCTTCTCAGTTTCATGAAAGGATCATTTATTGTATGGGACTAAAAGAATCGGAACAGCAGAAATTGGTCAAATTTTATAAAAAAAATTAATTAAAACGTTGGTTTGTTTGATAAAACAAATGTACGCGATTTAAATACGGAAAAATAATTTCATTTCCTATTCAATTAAATACGAAAAGGTTTTTTCCCAAGCGAGCTGTCGTGTGTTACGTACCTTGAGCATTTCGACGGAGAATTTGGGCCGTGCGGCGTGGTACAAGATGAAGATGATATTCACGATGACGCCAGTCAGGATGCCCAGCTCTATCGGCAGCGTGAGGCATAGCACGAAAGTGCCGATGCCTGGCACCAGGTCCAATTCTGTGCACAATTTATGCTTTGTTAATATCAATAAACTATCTTACTTTAGGGGTTTCGTTTTACTTTTACGACGAATTTCGGCTACTGATGAGCGTAACATTGTTTCCGAAGGCGTATTTGTAAAAAAAAAATCAATCTCTTTTTCATAGATGTTTTTTCTTAGTCACTAGTCTACTACGCATTCGTATAGGCAGATTTCCATGAGAAAAATGAGAAAGAATCTCTAGGGGTTGTTTTTTGTAAACAAGTCATTGGTCGTAATTATCATTTCAATAATATGTTAAAATAACAGACGTCGAAACAACTTTAAAGAACTAAAACGACCCCTATCATGGTTTTGTCATTGTATAATATAATAAATATACAAACGTAGCAACGCGGTTTATATGTGTGCACGCTCGCCGCGCGCCGAGCACGGCAGCACACATTCGCATAATTTCGCAATGCACTCACGTTGCATGGCATGGGTTGTCACACGCGCCATTAATTATAGAATTAAAGCGGTTGGTCGGTGTTTAAAACATGGCCTTAAATAGTAGACGTGTCTATTGTTGTTTTTGTGATAGTTTGAACAAGAATGACTTAAATTCAAAATTGTTCAGCATTTAATTGCCATAATCATACTCCATAATCAAAACATCAATCCGCAATACTGGTGTAAAATATTAATAAGTAAGTATACTGTATTTAATAAACGTTGTAATGGAAACCTGTTTTTTAACAACTAAAATAATAATGTAACAACCCTACGACCCGTGTGAAGTGTTAGGCGTTTACTCATTTATTTAAGTTATGACTTTGTGCTGACAACTGTCAAGAACAGCCAGTTTTTGTTCCTGGTATTAACATTACATCGCTGTTATAAATTATACTACACTTGCTTACAGCACCGGGTTTCTTTACAAATATTGACTGAAATATCTAGAACTATGTACCTACATTATTAAACTATAGCCATTATTTAGAATTCCGGAAGTTATTTTCATAGTATACCTATAATCTATTTATACTTGACAACCTCCGTTCTCTAGTGGCTTTAATGACTCTAAAAACTCAATTTCGCTAAAAATGTAGATTACGTTAGTTGTGATTAGAGGGCAGTCCCTTAACCTGAAGATGATGTGCGAAATTAACCTGGTTTGCACAATTATCGTTTGTATTTAAGTGTGATTATCGCCATTATCTACTGATTTAACAGGGAAGAAAAACTAAAAAAACATCGCTTCTAATAAGTGTAGACTTAGACCATTGCATTATTTGAACAATATTAATTACTCAAGCTCAACTAAGTATGACGTTAAACCGTGAGAATACAGATACCTAAGTATGATTATTTTACAGAAGGTTACACTTCATAATATTTGTATTACATTTTGGTTACTTGAATTAATTCCGTCCATTCCGTCAGTCCGTTTTATCCTATTTTGGTAAGCGAAAAAATGGGTTATAGTATTTTTGGGCTATAGATAATTCGAATTTAGAATGCAAAAGGTTTTATCACAGTGATTAATTAATCAGTTTCAATTTCGAACTACATTAAAACCATGTGATTGATCAGTTTAAATTTCGAACAAGATTAATGACGTGATATTAAAGGCATGTAATTGGTCAGTGTCAATTCCCAACCGAATTTCAAATGACGTTAAAACCACGGTCAGTTTGAACTTCCTGCTGCATTCTTAATGCGAAGATGGCATAGTTATAATACTTACTTTTAGCGTGCCACATCGGTTTGACGACGTCGTATTCAACCATAAAGAGGATGGCGGAGATTATGATGGCTGCCAAAGCTGCCTTTGGGATGAATTCGAAGTACGCCGTAAAGAATTGCAACGCCAGAATCACCATTATGCCTGAACACAGAAAAATACACTTTATTATATTGCTATAACGAGCGAATGTAGCTTACATACCCAACTCTCAATGCTCCATACGTTGAAACTCAATGTTAAGAATTTATTTATTTTCCTCTGTTAACCCCTGAAGCAAATAGAGAGGAGTTAATCCTATGTTTGAAGCCCTTGGGCGCGTTCCCATTATGACGACAGATAGTGGTGTAGTTTAAAGTGTTGTGGCTTGTATATTGAAATGAAGTTGTTCACATATAGTATAACACTATTAATTGTCTTTCACGACGTTTTTGACGTTACGACGACAGACTGTCGTGACAACGGGAAGAGCTAGAACAACAGTCGTCTGCCGATAAATAAAACGTCACGATAAAAATGTGGCGACAGATAATCGCAACTTCAAACGATTATGTCGTGCAAACGACAAGGCGGCTGTCGCGTACCGATAAATTGTCGTTACGATCTAGTGGGAACAACTAGACACGACAGTCGTTCACGATAAAATAAAAGTCCACGATACAGTCATGACAGATAGTCACGATATGGGAACAGGCTAGACGCGACAGTCGTCCAACGACTATATCTATCTGTCTATATGTCTTTCTGTTGCATCGTACCTACCTCCCAAACGGTTTTTTTATTTGAAAGCTAATTTAATCGGGATGGTTCTTAGCTCATCAGGATTATCAGGTTTTTATTTGGTTAGTGTAGGGATATCTCTCATATAATCGATGACATTACAGTAATATACATAGTGAAGTTGATCTGATGATCAGATCTCAGAACCGTCTACCCATACCGAACTTCTCAACTACTTACTTTAATATCTACACGATATTTGGGCTTATTAAATGTTCCGATGAGTCTTTATTGACGTTTTGGTAACCTACGCTGTTTTATATCGTTTTTTTTTTTTAAAGTTTAATTAAAGTTTTTCAACATTTGCCTCGGTAGATCAAGTGCATTTACGACTACTTAATGTTGATTTGTTATTGGAAAAGGTGATCTCTAATCTACAAGTGCATTAATACAGTTGTTCATTATAAGTTCGTACACCAGCTGAAGAGAGATGGCAACCTTTTACATTACATTCGGTATATCTTTGACGCAATGGCCGCTTGATTATTTCGTTTCGAATCATAAGGATGCCAGCATTGACTTCTTACTGCAATATTTTTTTATTTTTATGTCGTCGGGGCATGAGTAACGTGACCATTATTATTTTCCCTCCGAGTGGGACGCCTGTAAATTTAATATTGTTTTAAGCCTAAAAGCGGGACTGTCCCGCTCAAAGCGCGACATATGGTCACGTCAGGCATGAGCCCGGTCGGGGCATAGAGTATTAAAGCAACAGCGATACTTACCAGTGTAAAGGCCGTTGAGTGTAGTGCGTACGCCTGAGGTGTTGGCGACGACGGAGCGCGCAAGCGAACCACCACCAGGGTACGCCTGGACGAAGGAGTTGGCAATTCCTGCCACGCCAAGTGCAATCATTTCTTGCGTTGCGTCGATTGTACGGCCGTCGGAAAAGGCTTTGCAAATCGCGATGTCCTCAAGTAACACGATGAGTGGTATAACGAGGATGCCTGAGCCAAGTTCAGAGATCATGTCGACGAAGTCAGCTGTTGTGTTGTCGGCGCGTACGTATGATACTAGTGGCAGCGTTGGCATCGGTACGCCTGACGGGATTGGACCTGTCACGTAATATAATGGTTAGCAAACGGTTAAACAAAATTGAAAGCGAGGACGTATTACAATCGGGTATTTTTCAAATACCTGCTCGCTTCTCGTGGCAGATGGTCACGTGATCGATGTAGACGACGTCACCAACGTTTTAGATTTTAGATGACGTAGAAATTGGGTTCCATCACGTGATCTGTCCGCCACAGTAGGTGGAAAATATCCTGGTGTAGTTATTTTTACCCATTTTAATATACTATGAATGAAAGTGGATAAAATACAACCACTCCTACATTTGGGAATAGAAATCGCTACGTACAACATGGAAGAAAATTATGAATCAATCAATTCTGGTGATAGATAGACTATGTGAACTGGAAATGGCTGCAAGTGAATTAGTTATTAAGCGCGCAGAGATAATCCTAATTCGAACCTATTAAATGCAAAGTAGAAAACTCGAAATTAAAACATTAAACTACATAGTCATTGGCGAACTAGTGAAACGGTAGTGAATTGATTGTATGTAGATGGATTGCAGAGGAGTCGAAGCTAATGAGAGCACGACACGTGCGCGTGCGGGTGTGCGGGGTTACTAACCGCTTCGAATGTTCTCCGCTGAAGACAGCGTGAACAGAAAAACATATGTAAGTTGGAGATCACAGTAACACCGTAGTAAAGGCAGCCCGGATTTGGGATTTAGCGTACCCATGAGCCGGAAAGGCGGCGTCTCATGATGTGCAGCGAACCAGAAGCCAAGCGCGCCGGTTGCAATGACCACAATGGCGTTACGGCACGTGCCCAGGAGCCACATGCTTTTGGTGACGAATCTCTGCCGTGCGCTCGCACCTTCACCGCCTACACGCACCATGCCCACACGCTACAACAAACAATACAGTCGTTAGTACCTTACGAAAGTAAACATAGTAGCGGATGTCATAGAAATATAATTTCTAATGCCGAGGCGAAAACTCACCCGTAGTATTAGCAGCAGCGCGATGCAAATGAAGCCTAGCACAGGATCCCAAAGAGAAGCCATTTTCAAGTTGCTAAAAATGGAGATCCACTGCTGCAGAAAAGTGGTGCCGTTTACGGTGATGGCGAACAGGTCCTTCACCTGTGAGGTGGCGATCATAAGCGCGACGGCAGATGTGAATCCAGATGACACAGGGCCTGATACGAAGTTGATGAGGAATCCGAGTCCCAGCACGCCCATTAGTAACAGGACTAATCCAGTGAGGAATGTCGCCAGTACGGCCTTTTCGATGACGCCGCCCGCCACCTGCCACGTGAGCAGCGATGCGATAGCTGTAGGACCCGCGGGCACGCAGCGGCACCCGCCCAGCACGATATAGATGAAGCAGCCGAGGAACGCGCCGTACAGGCCGTGCTGCGGCGGCAGCCCAGCGATGTTGGAGTACGCAAGTGATTGCGGGATCACCGTCAAGCCCACCGTTATGCCCGCGATCAGGTCACCTACCGCTTTTTCCGTATTGTACCTGGATACATATTACTGGTTATTTTCGTATGCGAGAGACGACAAAGCACGACATAATTGAAAAGCTAACGAGCTAAACTCACTGTGGTAGCCATGCGATGATAGGCAACCTTTTGTGGAGTGTCTTGCGATTGCAGCGGCGGCGAAGCGCTGCACACCATCCTTCTCGCGTGCTGCTGTCTCCCACTGTACCAACACACGAGCGAATCGTTAGAAAATTAGCCGCGATGTGAACGTAGCTCGGATGATACAGAAACAGAGGCTACTGGACCCTTTGCTTACAAATATGGTCATTGCTGGCGTGCTTGTCGTCGCCGGCGGGCAGCGCCAGCGACCCAGACGAGGCGTTGTGTTTGCGCCGCGGGATCATCCTGCGAACAATCCCAATCGTTAGTTTCCCACGCAGCAAAGAAGTACAAAGCGCTTGAGAATACAACATTATTTAGAACTACGAGAACAAAATAATTTGACGACGTAAATCAAGAAGTATATATATATGTTATGCCACGTTATTATGTTTACGACGTTATTGTCATTGTGGTGCTGACATGTGACTTGCCTCCTAAGGTAGGTACGCCAGGAAGTATTGTTATCCATGGCGACACGTAAATAACAAACAAACATCATAATGCGCTATACATTGCAGCAATTCGCAACGGATTAAGATGTGATAAGAAACCACTTCACACAACACGAACCGGGCCGCGCGCTATCATGCTGTGTTTCTAAATCACACATATAGTACCTATATAAGCGACGGTACCTACCTGTTCAACACTAATGTCTCCAACCTATAAGGCAATTTATTTACCATGACACTGTTAAACTGAGTTGTTTACTTATAAGAGGGGTTTGTCTGTAAACGGGTGTGTGTCGCTCCTGGCGTTAACAATTACACTGATCATATGACTCCAATCAATTGGAAATAGATACGTCTTCTCTTGGTTCGCGTACGTTGATTATTCGGTATTGTATCTATGTGTGATGTAGGTACCTACTGCGGAGTGAAATCATCATTGGGCAAAGGGGCGTACGTTAAACAAATGAGCAATTTTATTTGGTTTTCTATTAGGTTTACTCTCGAAATCGTACGTGTTATATTTTTCAAACGTTTGAAACTGAATTCTTATAAATAGACTGTTTTCATGGTCATAAATGGGTTAGGGATGCCGCAGATGTCGGCATGTGCATCCACAACCCCGGATCATCCTCATTGCTTCCGTATCTGATATTCGAATCAATCGATGCAGAGTTTTTGCGGATCACGACAAGATCGTCATGAGGAGTCCTACTGAAAGGGTGTACAAAACAAAATTTTTTTTTCACAGATCCGCATCTTTCAACGACGAAAAATCCGTATCTGCAAATGTCGTCATAACCCACATTTGCGGCATCCATGGTAAAGATATTTATTTATGTCATTGTAGGGCTTTTTTATACCGATCGGAGAAATTAAACACCATTGTCAAGAGACCAATCAATCGTGTGCAATCGTTTCCAATTAATCGATTATTGAGAATGACGTCTTTTTCGAACTCTAACTCAAGCTTTATTTCATAAGTTTCATAAGTTTGACTGCCTCCGTGGCCGAACGGTTACCATGACTGCCACGCAGAGGTCCCAGGTTCGATTCCCGGACCGGGAGAAATATTTATATGGCCTACATTTATTTCTCTCGTGAGTTTGGGTGTAATTTGTGGTTGTCTATGTGTGTGTCCATAGCACCCGCGACACAGGGTTTCCCTAGTGCGGGGCTATGTTGAGTGTGTGCGTTATTATTATTATTATTAATATAAGTAAATAAATTAAAATTATTATTATTATTAATATAAGTAAATAAATAAAAAAACAGTTCAAATCGTCACATTGAACTCTACTACTCATTCGTAAGACCGATTCTTCTATCTTTTATACTAATGAAAATTAAAGAACGCACGTATCACATAGCATCAGTGCTTCTCGTAAATACAGCAGTAACCGCGGATTCCGCAATCTCATTAAACATGTATCAGCACAAGATTAGTTACTTGTTAATGGGATTTATGAGGATAAAGAGCGGAATGGCACCTGGAGGAGCGCTAGGTGTAGATACATACATCTTCTATTATGCCGTTGTTGGGACAGTTTTTGAGATCTCTTCTATGGACAAAAAGCAGTCTTAGAGGCAACCTGCGCGCAATAACGCGTTTTACAGCACGTGTAACAAAAAGTTCGTACATCAATCGGCAACTGTACTGTCACAAACAAACCTTAGCAAAAACTATAAGAAATGACGAAAAAAAATTTCAAATACAAATTTTCGGTTGACTGCGCCCATTTTGTATAGCAAAGAAAAATATAATAACCCATTGACGAAGAAAGATTGCCTCTAAGTGTCGTTTAATGACTGCTTTTGATCTTACAGAAGGTCACTTAAACTGTACTTACAACGACATTGGGTACATCTAAAGTCGTAGGGCGTCCCCCAAGATGGCCTCCTATCCCCTCAAATCTTATCTATCTATAAATATGTTTTGAAAATGCTATTACCAGTCTCCTCTAGTTATCGCCATAAAGATGATACTTTTATTTTCCGGTTAGTGAACATTGATTGCTATCCTAACAAGCTATTAGACAGTTCAATATAGTTCCATCTATTCGCAATATCCGCCGTTCACGCTGTGCTTACAGAGTCAACAATGTCGGCGACATTGTTATCCATTTTTACCTGTCATACGTTAGTAAGTACTTTAAATGGTCTGTAATGCTTGTCCGTTATATCGTGTACTGAACGTCGATAAGAGGTTATACCGAGATAGTACCCCAGCGTCCTGATTTTGATTGAAATCGGAGTCCATCCAATCGGGTTGTCTCGAAATCAGATGGGTTTCTGAGTGAGACGATGAACGTGATTCCTACTACATCTTTCTAATTTGTGAGTTAAATCAACTATTGTTTCGATTAGAAATGTCAAAAGTTTCCGATCGGCCAGTTGTGAATCGCAACTCGGAAGAGACGCAGTTTCCGATCGGGAGAGGCAATCATAATCAAGCTGCAGGTGGGGATAATAGAGTCCAGCGTGGTAATTTGACCCTGTAAAGCCACTTGTATTATTCTTATTATTAGGATCAAATTTTAGATAACAATTGATTTATCTGCGCAACTAGTGAACCTAATGCTTTATAGCTTACATTTTATAGCATTGGTAGTTAAGTTAGTGGATTTTTAAAGATATCAAGTAAGCGACACGTCTATCCGTAACAGTTGCAGTGCCATTCAGAGTTTTAAATCGCAAAGATCTGAGGAGCACTGCCACAGCGCCCGTCACCCTGACACAACAAGTTATGAAGTCCTATGGGCCTGTAGTTTCACCCTCATGCCCTTCAAAATCGGAACGCAGTAAACTGCTTGGCGGCAGGAAATAATTCTGGAATAACTCTTCCACAACTTTTAATGACTCTTTTGACCTACGATCACAAATGTGATTTTTGTTATATCAAGGGTACGTGGTATGATATTACGGTTTTGTCATATAAATTAGTTTTTGTTGGCTTATATCTGGAATAATCCAGTTTAGTTAGTACACAATGTTGATTCTTAAAAACTATGTTAGTAGTACTAAAAATAAAATTGCAATTGAAATATAATTTATACTTTATAAGCGATGCGAAAAACGCTGTCGCATAGGCTTTTTTATACAAAAATAAGTGCGCATTTGACTTCAACCTTAACTGATGGAAAGTGAAGACGAGGTCGACGATGTAGCATGCACACCTAAATAATGCCTATTCACTGTCGCCTCCAAAAGGTTCAAGTGTTTTCGTTCGGAGGACAAGTCCGCAGGCAGGGAATTCCACTCCCTAGCATCTTGCCATATAGGTAATGTGGAAGAGAAATGCGGTGAATAGCATCTATTGACAATGGCTCTTGACCTTGACTCAGACCTTGGGAGACCTGAACACAATGCTCGAAGATCTCAGTGCTGTTTCCCAAAGAGTGGGTTTTAAGATGAACATGGACAAGACGAAGATTATGTCGAAAGCATGTTGTACCCGCTCCAGTTAAAATTGGGAGCATTACACTCGAAGTTGTTGACCATTATGTAGGTATGCCTGGGACAGACAGTCCAGTTAGGTAAGTCCAACTTTGAGAAAGAGATATCTCGTCGAATCCATCTCGGATGGGCAGCGTTCGGGAAACTACAAAAAATCTTCACGTCCAAATTACCTCAATGTCTCAAGATGAAAGTCTTTAATCAGTGTGTGTTGCCAGTGACCACATATGGATCAGAAACGTGGGACACTATGGACCTCAAAAGAAGGCTCAAGGTCACTCAGCGGGCAATGGAGAGAGCGATGTTCGGTATTTCCCTACGTGATAGAATCAGAAATCCGTAGGAGAACTACGGTAACCGACATAGTTCGAAGAATTGCTCAGCTGAAGTGGCAGTGGGCGGGGTACATAGCTAGGAGAACCGATGGCCGTTGGGGCCGAAAGGTTCTTAAATGGCTACCGCGCACCGAACGACGCTCAGTGGGTAGGCTCCCCACCACTCTGGACATCGTTGAGGGAGGCTTATGCCCAGCAGTAGGCGTCGTATGACTGAATGTTGACAATGGCTGTTAGGGTTGATAGGGTTGGAGCTGGCACGCTACTTGCAGAGCATTTTTACGTTTATTGGTATAAAAGTTATTCGTATGCATAAGAAACGAGACATTGGTTTTGATCGACATATTTGACCTTGATAGTGTTCCTCTAAACAAGTTATCGATAAATACGTCAACGAGATTGTTGAGCTGTGCGAAGCTATGAAAAAACAGCCGTTCAAGGTCGAGGGACACTTGTGTAATGCTGTGGGCCCGTGGGGACGTCGCCTTCCACTATCTTCAGATATCGCGATCTCTTCTGTCACAGATAGGGTAAATACAATTGACGTAACTACGCCGTTGTATTGTTTCATTTTGGTTAATCCTAGTAATGTTTATACTTTGTTAAACGCATATCTGTCTTTACGTCACTTGGAGTGATGTTTCTGTTCGGAATCTTTGGAACTAATATCGCATCGCACTCTTGGTATAATAAGGAAATCTGCAAATTTAAATGGGACCAATACTGAGGTACCTTACCTTTACCTACTCTTACCAACAAAAAAATAATTATCAAAATCGGTTCACGAATGCTGAAGTAATAGCGTAACAAACATACAAAAAGAGTACAGGCGAATTGAGAACCTCTTTTTTTGTAGTCGGTTAAAAAAACTGATATATAAGCACTTTTGACGTATGAACACACGTGGTTTTATTATATCAAGGGTACGATATAGGTCGAAAAAACAATAAAAAGTTACCAACTCGAAAGTACCAACCCGAGGAAAATGACGGTTCTTCTAGTC